AATTCTTTCCAATTACATCCAAATAATTAAGCTCCATTTAAATTTATTCCATTGATATTCACATTTTTAAATTAAGACTTAGATAAATTGCATTTAGCAAAATTACCTCCAAATAAATTAGTATTTTCAATTCTTATATTTTCAAAATTTTGGTTTTTTAAATCTACTTACATTTCAACCAATAAATTAAGTGCATTAGATCCACTTATAATAAAATTTGTATCAATTTTTGTGAGATGTATTAAAAATTTCAAAAATTCAATTATTTTAACCTCTTTTTATAATTTTTAAATGAGATATTACCTTGTTTCAGTATAGGTTTCAGTGGAATAATTAACAGAATTAATACCATGTATTTTAATGATTTTGATTAAACGAGTAATTGAATCAATAGTTTATTGAAATGCATCAAATTATTTTTTTTTTTCTAAAATTGATTTGATTCCAATTTAATTATAATCCTATGAATATTTTTAATTGAATTTTTTTAGAAACTCTAAGCAATCCTAATTTTGATTCTCTTCTTTTGACAATATTTTTATTATAATATTTAATATTTATGTATCAAAATTTTTTGATTGAACTAAAACCTCATATAAATCAGCTGCAATTAAGAACTCTTATATTGATTTATGGGTAAATGAAAAATTAGCACCATTTGATTAAACTAGAGAACAACTTCGTATATCTTTTCTATAAGATCCAAATTAATCATCATCATTAAAAAAATCATTGAGCCATTTTTCATTTTCGCTTTCTTCTTTATACAATAATCCTTATTGTTAATATTACACTTAAGTCATTTCATTCATGCTCATTGCTTTAGCAAGGTTAGTGGAATATTTTTTTAAATCATGTAGAAAACGATCAATATTAATAGATTTTCCTAATTTTTTCTATTTTTGTATTTATTTTAAATGATGTTAATTTATAAACTCATCATAAAAATCATAGTTTTTAAGATTCAAATCTATTAATGCATCACTAATTATTTCAATAACAGCATCTCTTATTTTTTCATCTTAAATTGCAAGTTCATCTAATAAATAATCTAATTCTAATGGGTGGTGTTAAAATATCTTCTAAACTAAGTTTTCAATCCAATATTTTCTTAAGAAATCTCTGCTATTATCAGAGTTGAATTTTCTTCTATTTTATCCCAAAATTTGAAAGCAATATCTTGATAGTTTAGTTTTTCTAAATTTTCGATATCAAACTATGTAGTTCTAAAATTTAGAGTCATCACTTTGTATTAATATGAAATATTTTGTCAATTAAAAGAACATCTAGCATTTCTAATGAATAATTACTAAGCCAAAAAATAAGTTAAGTAATAATAATAATACTTTTTAAGAAAATATATATAAAATGAAGCTTTAATAATCTCATACCGAAAATGAATATTTTTTATTTACCAAAAAAAAAATTGTAGAAAATAATAATTTTTTAAATAAATAATTTTAAAATATTAATAAAAAAGTATTATTGTTTTTTTGAATAACTGCACAATTCCTCATTTAAACTGTAATTTGAGATATGAACTCAATTTCTTATTTTCAAATATTTAAGATTTCTATATTGCTTTTAAAATCAAGTTAGATTAGGACTAACTTAATAATAATCATTTTATATATAAAACAAAAATAGACAAATTAAATAGATTTTTCTTTAAATTTTCTCAATCTAACTAATTCAAAAATACAATTAAATTTTTTATTGAATAAAACACTGTCGAAATTCAAAAGTATTTGAAAATGAGTGAATAAACGCATATAAATATCAATTACACAAAATCATGATGAAAAATTAATGGAGTCGCAATAATAAGTTAATAAAAAGAATTTAATGTTATATGTTTTAAAAAGTTGCATTATGTTTAGAGCTAAAAGATAAAAGTACTTAAAGTAAAAAGCTAGGTATTAGAATCGATTCAAAATAGGGAAAATTATATCATAGTCGAAGTTAAAAAGTATTATATTCGTTTCAAATTATTTTAAAAAAATTTAATCAAGACAAGAAAATTAAGTTAAATTAAACATTATTTGATATCGTTATTATTGGCTATTATATTAAACTTTTATATTGATTTAAATAGGAAATTAAAATTAAAATATAATTTATTAAAAAAAAAATTCACCAACCCAAAGACTTGAACTTGGATCTCCACCGTGAGAGGGCGGCATTTTACCTCTAAACTACTTGGTGATATTTATAGATGATTTGAGTAGATTGCTTTAAACTACTCTAATAATTTCCTATGGTTCTGGAAATAATAACAGGTTTTAAAAAATGATTGACCATAANATCATGTAGAAAACGATCAATATTAATAGATTTTCCTAATTTTTTCTATTTTTGTATTTATTTTAAATGATGTTAATTTATAAATTCATCATAAAAGTCATAACTTGTAAGATTCAAATCTTTTAATACATCAATAATTATTTCAATAACAGCTTCTCTTTTTTTTTCATTTTGAATTGCAAGTTCATCAAATAATTAATCTAATTCCTAAGGGTTTTGTTATAATATCTTCAAAAGTTAAATCTTTAATCCAATATTTTCTGAAGAAATCTAGGCTTTTATTAGAGTTGAATTTTCTTCTATTTTATCCCAAAATTTGAGAGCAATTTCTTGATAGTTTAGTTTTTCTAAATTTTTGATATCAAACAATGTAGCTTCAAATTTTTTATCATCAACAACTTTCTAGAAATTTTCATCTCTATTGTTTGATGCCAATAGGCTTTTCTATTGTTATTGATATATTTGGATCAACTATTCGCACATGTAGAACTCTTTAAGCATATTTGGAAAATTCTTTATAAAATTTGATTTCAGATTATTCATTTCAATTGCTTTAACAATCATTTCAGGCAACACTTAAACTACTATTTCCATCATATAAGGAGTTATGACCAATTTATTTAAATTGATTTACCTTATCATTTTGTTGTACTTTTCTACGCTCCACAGTTTTTGGAGATTTATGCTCAGACTTCTTAAAGCATCATTATTTTTTATAGATATAAACTCATCATTCTTCAAAAACGATTAAATTTGATCTATTTATTGTTAATTCAATAGATTCTCCCCTTTCATCCCTGATATTTCTTTTTTTAGAAATTATTACAATTTTTCCCAAAAAATTTCAAACTTTTTGATATCAATCACTCCTCTTTTTGAAATTTGTGTTTACCATTCATAAATTTCAAAAATCTACATTTTAACACTTTAAATTGTAAATTTTTCTAGATATTATTGCATTTACTTAAAATCAAACTTTAGAAGTTTGATTTCTTTTAATTTTTCCTTCTCTTCAGGTTCAAACCATTGAGAATAATTACTACTTGTAAAAATTTCACTTCTTGTAGTAAAAATAACAAGTGGGTTTGACCAATTCTATTTCAGTTTATTATTTATATATAGGTTTTTCTAAATATTTTCTAACTTCATCTCATCATAACTGTCCATTATCAATAGAAACCGAAAATCTTTCTTTTCTAACATCTCTTTGCATTCTTTCAATTAGAGAAGATCAAAACCATACTGATCTTGATGAAGTGCTTCCTCTACTGCTTAAAACACAGGATTTTTTAAAGAAGGTAATGAAATATAAATTGGTATTAGTAGTTTATCGCCAATTTTTTAATTATTATCATGTAATTTCCAAATAAATTCTTCTAATTTCTTAGCTGCAGTACTTTTGCCTGATCCAGCTGAGCCATGAATTAATAATACTGTTTCTTTATCATTTAATAAAAACTCATTAACTTCCCCATTTTTATCGTATAAATTTTAAAAATTCATCAAAATACTTGTTTTTTCTTCCTCGTCTCCTTCATGTTTTTCTATATATCCTTCCTCATCTTCTTCTAAATTTCCTTCCTAATCTTCTTCTTCATGTCCTTCTATCTATCCTTCTTCATCTATTTTCTCATCTTCTTCTATATTTCCTTTCTCATCTTCTTCTAACTGTCCTTCCTCATCTTCTTCTTAATGTTTTTATATATATCCTTTTTTATGTCCTTCTTCCTCCTGTCCTTCTTTATATTCTTATTTATGTCCTTCTTTTTATACCTCTTAATCATTTAATTGGAATTTCTTTTCCTATTTTTCCAATTTATGAAATATTTCCAAAGACTTTATTGGTACATAAATAGACCTAACATTTTTATTTGCTGCTTCTTTCAATACTTTCAATTTTCTAATATCTAAAAGCTCTTCAACTGATTTTCCTCTAAGAAACTTTATGTCATTACTCAAACTGTTTAATTATTTCTTCATCTCATTAATTTTTCCCTCGACTCTTGTCAAACCTTTTCTGATATGATTCACGAAGTCTGTTATCAAGTTAAGTTATTATCCCATTTCACTGATATTTTGAATATATTCATCTAATTGCTCAGTGGTTTCATCCATTTCTTTCAATTATATCTCTCGTTTGCTCGCATTTACTTCTTGAGTGATCTATTCTTACAACAAATCAATTCTACTCAGCATTTATTACATTTCTCTTGCAATTCTATTGTTTTGAGTCTACCAATCTTTCGACAAAACCTACATCTATAAACTTATTAAGTGTTAATTTTTCAATAAATTTCTAACTCTTTAATCTTTTTCTAAGACCCATAATTAAATGAGAGTTTTTTAACAAAATTGAGTAATTGTTTCTGTAAAGCTATTCAATGAAATCTATAGTATAGTTAATACTAAACCCTATTTAATTTTCCATTCATCATTTTTTTATTAATTTATCGAGAATTAATCCTATTGATTTGATTTGACTTCATATTCCTCATTGATTTCTTGTAGGAAGATTTTTTTAGTTAATTGAACTAGATATTCTTGATTAAATTAAATTTCCTAGAATTCCCTATCAGATATTGTTAATTTTTTTATTGTTTCAGCCATTAACTTGTAGAGAAAATCAATAAAATTCGTTGATTACCTATTATTGTTGTCTGATTATTTTTCAATCTACGATGCGTTGATTTAAATTCTTGAAAAGTATTCTTTAATTGATTCTTTTTCCTATTATTCTAAATTAGCAGTTGTTAATTGCGATTATTTAAGGAGTTTTATATGTTATTCAAAACAATTTGAAAAGCTTTTATACATTTCTTAGTAATGTTCTTGTATAAAATCACGGCTTTTAGTAAAATTTTTGACATCTTCAAGGAATTCGGCCAACATTTGCTTATCTTATCTTATTTTTATTAATAGCATTTAGAGAATATTAACAATGATGGATAAATTTTTTCTAATTATATTTTGGAACGTATCGCGTTCTAGAGTATTCTAATCATATCTATTGTTCTTATCTTTATATTTTTTTTTTAATTCATCAAATTTCTCTTTTAAATCACTGACTATTTTATTGAATGGTATTTGAAAAAAATTTAGGTTTTAATTAACAGAAGTTTACAATAATTTAACAACTTTTTCGATGCAACTGATTAGTAATTTAAGTTATTCTACCACTTCACAATTTTATTAGTTAATTTTTCTTAATTTTTACAATAACATCTCATACTTTTCTCTCTCAATATTTAATTAATTTTTATTAAGATTTTTGTTATTGAGAATATTTATTGAAAAGTCATTTATAATTTTCATAATTCTTTCAGTAGGAGTTAAGGGATCAGTTTCTTCGATAGATATTTCTCCAAATTCCTTTTCGATTAATTCCAAATCTATTCTTTCCATTTCAATAATTTACTCTTCTAGAGTTAATTTAAATATAAGATAATCTAAAATTCCTTTTTATATTGCTAAATTATTTTAATAGTCTTGCTCAGTAATTTATAAGTTTCTTAATTCTGTAATAGTTTATTTATAAAATTAACTGTCACAACAAATTATTCGTTTTGGATAATTCTTAACTATTATCAAAAAAAAAAAATAGAATCTGTTTTACTTTTATAAATTTGTTTTTGAAATGAATTGATTAAAAATTATTGCAGTAAGTTATAAATTTTAAATCAATTTTATCCTTTAATTAAGCTGCAAAATATTTTTATGATTCTTCCTAATTATTGGAGTTGATCTCGGTACAATAGAGAAGAAGCGAAGATAAAACTTATAGATATATATTACTATTTTGAACTGAGAGACATTCATACAGCTGCTACAAAGTTTAAGAGCTTTAAGTGCATCTTCTCTAGCTTTTTTACTTTTTTAAGACTCTCTCAAATTTTTTAAATAGTAAGCTATGTTTAGGTCCTTGCCTACTTTAGGCTTTATTGCATATGCTCTTGTTATTGAGTAAATCTCAAATCTTATTTATTGAATGCTCATCTTATAATTCCCTTAATGAATGTCAACATATTCTGGAAAATGATTTGGAAAGTAAGAGTTTGCTACTTCAAAAAACATTAGGACTCGTTTGATGGATAGGTCTAAGGCTTAAAACTAAAAGACTCCATTTCCCGCATTCTATAAATCAAAAGGAATTGATATTTCCAAATAGAAAGGGAGTGAAGAGTGCAACTCTCAAATTCCCAAATTTACAAGGGCACAAAACTTCTGGAATAGATTTATTTATATTATTTTGGAATTATTTTAGAGCTTTCTTTCTGTAAAATATACACATTCTTTATAAGCTATCTTTTGATTTATCATTTTCAAAATGATATTTCTTTCTTCTAAAATAGTTTTGTGAAATAATATTCGTAGAGTAGATGGTTAAAAATTAATAATTAGAAAATTTATGTATTTGGATTTTTAATGAATTATTTATAATCATTGTTTCTCTCTATTCATATGAAATATACAAACTTCAATTGATTTGTTAGAAGCTAAGCTGTGTTGGAGCCAAAATTTTTCTTAATTAGTAATTCTTGACTTTATCGAGAAAAACTCAATTACTCAAATTTATATAGTAAATTCATATTTACCACAATTTGAATAATTCTTTTATAATTTTTAAAACCGAAAACCTAACAATATTAATGAATACTACAAATTTAAGATTGAATCTATTTTCTGCGAGGTCCCATTTATTATTAATATATAAGCCCAAATATTTGAAGGCCGTTACTCTTTTATATCAATCCAAAACAGAGGCTTACTTATTTAATTTATGAATTTACTTTTGATTTACTATTAAATCTTCAGTTATCTCATGTGAAAATGTGATTGAAATTTAAAAATAACACCAAAGTCAAAATGGAGAACTCCTTTATACTTTGAAAGAAATTCTTTTAATATTTCAATTCAAACAGATCATAGGATATAGCTTCTTATTACTTTCTAACTATTTTAATTATTCTTAGGTGAATGCAATAATTAAGAGTGCATAACTGGTGAACATTCTATTTTATTTAAAAATAATTATATTTCTAATATTGGTTTGAAAAATTTTTTAGGTTTATTACATTTCTCTAGATATGAATGAATCTGTTAATTCAGATACACATGGATTTGCTAGGTTTTGATTGCTCATATCTTGAAAAAGTTCGTTTATTCAATAAGCAAGAATACAGGTAAGGGTAGGCAATCTGATTCTTTATATATGAGAATTTATTTCATGGAGATATCTTGAATTAATTAAGTAAATTATTTTTATTAACTTTGTAATCTAAAATAACAAATAAGAAATTCCATTTTACTTTTTATTTAATGACTCCACTAATAACATATTTTTTTCTATATATTAAATTATTCATTTTTATCTATTTTTCTCCTAGTTGGTGCTAATTCTTTTGGGTTTATCTAAATCATTATATCACACATTATGAATTAGAATATTTTATATAAAAATTCTAACAACTTTGGATTATTAAAGAATAGAATTCACCAAAAGTATTTTGAAAATACACAATACATCAAGTAGAAACTCATCCAAATTGATAAAGTTTTTTAACTATTACAATTCTAATGGTATTTTTAATGTATGTAAAAAACATTATCTGAAAGCAATTAATTGTAGTTTAATCTTTAAATTGTTCAATCTTTATTTTTTTAGAAATTAAAATGAAAGCCTGCAAAACTATTGTTATTTAATTTCTTTTAATTTTTCGGGTAGAGAAACAAACTCTATTTCATATTGTAACATTAGAATTGTCTTAAAACTTAAAAGCAATTCATAAAAGTCTTTTTGAAGTTCTTAGATCTGGTGTTCATAATAATAATTTAGGTTATTCAATAACATTTAAAAGTATTTAATTACATTATCCTTGTTAATTAACAAAATTTCGAGCTCCTAGATTGATTTTTCAGTTTGTTAAATAAGTTTTAACATGAATTGAGCTTCTTTCAAAAAACTTTTCTAATTTAGGGTAGCATTAGGCAGGGCAAGTAGCTTTTACTTAAACTTACTAGCAAAAGAAAATTATTTATCTGTTAGATTTAAATTTTATAATTCCTTCAAAATCAGCTCTATCTCTTACTAAAACATTATGCTTTCATCTGGTTCATTTCTCTAATCATTAATATCTTAAATTTTTGATGATAATATTTACTCTAAGAGTCTCATAATATATCTAAGCTTTGAAAATATTTCTAATTCATTCATCTTTTTCTATTCAAGTTAATCAATCTCAAAATCATCTTTCCTTTAACTAAGCCTCATCATTTTAATGATTTTTAGAGTGTTTTGAAAATATTCTTTGAAATTTAGAATCATATTTTTTAATTATGAATTGTACGTAGCTTATTCAATTGCGACATAAAATACTAATTTTTTTGGATAAAATTTTTATAATTTTTAACAACTACTCCCAACCTCTCATCATTTTCCTGAATTAGTGCTATTAATTTATTTGAAATGATGAAATCAAAAAATTGTTTAATTTTGTAAACTGCCGAAAAAGTAAGATTTTCTTATATTTCTATACTTTCTAATTCTAATTTTAAATAAAAACCAAATGTGAAATAGATATTATCTTTTTTTTCATTCATTAAGAATTCTTTTAGCAACATAAGGTTTTCCCATTCTTTGAAGGAGTCTTCTAGTATTAATTTATCAATTTAAGTTATTTATTTATTTTTAAACGAATTAAGCAAAATTAAAGCTTAATCTTTGCAATGATTCATTTAAATCAGAAATCCTTTGTTCATATATTCCTTCCATTTGGCTTCAAGATTAAAAGAGCTAGCCAGCTTTAGTTTTTGTTTGGTTATTAGAGGGTTATAGATAAAGATTTTTCCAATCATTTAGATCCACAAAAAATGATTTTGCCAATTACTTGAATTTTTCACAAGTTTTTAATGAGTTTTCTCAATTTATATAATTATTTCTTCCAAATTCTGTTAGCTGTCATTTTTAAAATTATTTATAATCTCCCATTGCAACATATCAATTTAAAAATATACTTCATATTATTCTCTATTTTTTTAAACTGTATACTTATTGTAAAGTAAGCAGGCTCCATGATACAATTACATAAACAATTCAGTATTAGGTTTCATATCAAATATTGAGTTAAAGATACCATTTAGGCAACCATTTAAAATATCATCCCTATCCTTACCATCATTTGGGGCGATCTGGAAAGAAGTTTTTGTTAAGAAAACGTAAAGTTCCAATTCAGTATGAATTAAATCATTCTTTTCTATTTCCATTTATTATCTTAATTCATCACAAATATCCACAAATTGCTTTTATGTATCACAGTTCATAAATCTCTATTCCTTTCTTATATGGAAGCTAAATATCACTTTAGATAGAGAAGCTGTCGTCCTTAAGATGAATAAACATTTAAATGAATCTGTTCTGACATAGATCAAACAACTTTTCAATAATTTTAGGATTCCATCTATAAGTAAGTTGTATGATTTCAAAACCTTTTAGGAATTCTTGATGAGTTTATAAATGTTTTCCTCTTAAAAAATAAACCACTATATGGCTATCATTATTTCTTAAGCTTCTGATTGATTAGCAGCAACAGCTGCTTTAGAGTAAATCGTTTAGACAAAATAATCAAATCTAGTAATGAAATTTTCTATGTCTTAAATATCAGACTTTATGACTATATCTGTGTAGGGTATTGTTTTAATAGAGCCACAACCACCTCCACGTAATGAGGATGTTATCTTATTCAATCGGCCTGACATTTTAATAAAAATTTAAATAATAAATCAACGCCGGTATAAAAAAGTTTATAAATTCACAACAAATACAAATATATTTTGTTAATAATTTAATGATAATTATTATGTTAAATAACATATAAATATGTTATTAACATAAATTTTAAATACATTATTACTTTCTCAGACCAAAGTTTACGTTTTTTTAGCTACTAAATCCATCTGCAAGATAACTTTAGCTTGTTAGCAATAACATCTGTGAATTATGCAAAAATCTAACATTTTCCAACAGGTTAAACATCCACAAGTTAGATCAGTTCCGACAGCACAAGAAGTCTTTAATTATATGCTTGCATATGATGTAATAGGGATGCATATAGCTCCATTAGTTGTGCATAATGGTGAAAATACTTAGCATTCAGGATGGGTCTTTTTCATTGCAGCTTTCCATTCTTCATAATCATAACATTATCTATAAATCCAAAGTCATGGTTCAGCGCTGGACTTTAGAGAGAATAATCTATTGGCAAATTCAATACTTTAGGCTCTAGCCAAACAACCGGATCCATTTGTTTTACATCCTGAAAGAAAGTATGATATTCACCATCAGTTAAGCCATTATTTTATCACTGCATACTTTACCTTTGTATTTATTTATTGCTGCATCCAAAACACATCTAGCTACTCCATTTTTATGTGTTAAGTCAGCCACAAACAATTAAGACTTGTTTGAAGAACATATTGAAATAGTTATGCATCTAGCAGAAGAAATAGTACAATTTTTCAGCAAGGTTTTTATGTTAAGCATGTGAATTTACTGTTGCGGATTGTACTTAAACTCTAAATTTTGAATTAGATTGTTACCAAGCTAAGAACTTACCATTCACTATGGATTTTGTACATCAAGAGTAATTAGTAGCATGTAAAGTAGAACATGATCCACTAACTACTGAAAATTAGCTTGCCCAAATTCATTCATCTCTTATTTTGCATGGAGCCTATTATTTCAAATAGTTAATTTATTTAGTACTTTTGTATCCATAACCAGATGTCTAACAATCTTTAGGATGCTTCTGATTATGGTATCAGTTGTAAGAGAATATCAAAATCATAAGTGGTTGGAAATACATATGAGTCACAATCACCACCATCCTTACATTAAGTTGGAGCTCCTCCTGCTTTACAAAACATTATTTTATCAGGTAAACTGATTAACAAAATTCTACCTTTAAAGCTGCTGACACCCCTGAATCTGTATGTACTTTATTAATACAGTCATTAGTTGCAAATACACCTGTTGTTGATTCACAACATTTAGTATTATATTAGATACATCCAGTAATGTAATTATCACAATCTCTTTAACAAGTAAGTGAAGGAATATCTGTACATATTGCACCATTAAAAACTAAAGTGAATGTTGTAGCTGTATTTATACAGAATTTAGTTCTATCTATGGTTGGAAAGGCTAAACAATATGTAGGTTTTAATGCAGGTATAACATCAGAATTTGCATTAGTGACTTATAAAATTTAGTTTTATCACTCTCTAAGTTTCAATAATCAGTAGTTTCCTTTATACTTTTGTGATAAAGAGATTGTTATGAATATGTTGTAAATGTACTTGGAATATTTGTAAGAAAATTACCTGTAGTAACAGCAGTATGAAATTTTCCTCTACAATATAAGTATTCTGTTTTATAAACCTTTCATTCTACTAAACTTTAAGCTGAATAAAAATTTGAACAAGCTGAAATGGTATGTAAAATAAAGACTCTTTTTTAGACTGCTGTTCCTGTAGCAATTTTAGTTACATCAATAACAACCTCGAATCCCCAACACTATTCTTACTTTATAGTTTTACACAAAGCCTAATCAATTTTTTAGTATGTAAAAGCAGTTGATAACGTTAAACATGTTGAATCTGTTACTTTTAATATATTCCTGCAGATATAAAGAGAGATTAATCATAAAAGGTTTTTGCATCTTTTAGGTGTTTAATTTTTCATAACTATTCTATAATTTACATTTAGTATCATATGATTTAAATGCACATATTGCTCCTTTTAGAGAAATCAATTATTTATATATTTATTGTTTAAAGATATATATATCGATGCTTAGAAAACAGATTAGAAAATAGTTTTGACTATTGGTATGATTTTTATGATGACTTTTCTATTTATGATAACTTATTTTAAGAATTTAATCAAGGCTGAAATTGTTTATCTCTAATAAAGTTGATTAAATATAATATTAGAATTTAAGTTATTTTTATTTTTTTGTTTACATTACATGAAAATTAAAGGGTTCTTCTAGAAAATAAAAATCGTTTCATCTAAATTTTCATAAACAAAATGACTTTTCTGACATGCTATTTAATAAATACATATTGATTACAATTATCATTAGATAGAATATTCACTTTTGATATAATCTCACTTATATTTTATACAATAATTAGTTATATACTAATTTTTATTAGACATTAATATATTTATTTATTAAAGGTATGATTACTAAAAATATATTCAATAGTTGTTCATTACTAAAAATAAATATATCATCAAAGTTGCTACTTGAAAATTCAATTCATATTGGGTTATATGCCATACAACATATATGTATTAATCCTTTGATCATACATTAAATCATAAAATAAACAAATGATATTCTAAAATATTAAACAAATCGATGAGACACTGTATCAGTCAGATTAATTTATATTATTTATTATTCAATTTTTTGAAAACTATTGCATCAAGTATATTTCCTATAAAATACATACAATGAATCTTTATTTTATAAATAGTACTGAAGGAATTATTTGATACAATAAAGTTTGATAGTAATTTTTATTCCTTTTATAGGAAATTTATTGTTAAAATTTTAATGTTAATTGATTCCATAGATTAAGGCTGTTTTAACTTTCTCTAGGACTCTTATCTTTTACTCATTTTGATCAAAGACTATTAATTCTCTCAATTAGAAATCTGAAAATCTGATAAAGAATATTTTTGTTCCATAAATTTATTCAATTCTTTGAATTCGTAATTGGAATTAATAAATCTTTTTATAATCACTACAAGTCCTATTTCTTGTTACTAAATATTATTCTAAATTATCATTTCTTATTTTGAAAGATCTCAAGAAAAATCTTAAATCTTCAGAACATGCTTTTTCATTATCCCAACAAATTCCTGTCAAATCATTAGTAATTTTTAAATTAAAATTCAATCTTTCTTCATCAAAAGTAAACTTAACAAAAGAACTTTGGATAATAATTGGTAAAGTTTATTCTATAATTACTTTAATAAGATACATTGTTTATCTGAAAATTATAATAAAAAATGTTCTCTTTGAATTTAATAATTTTGATGTTTAAATATTAGTATACAAAGAGTTTTTAATATTCTTGATATTAAATCTTATCCCATAAACATGTCATTCATTAATTCCAGTTATTACACATCTTGAAACAAAAAAGAATATCAATTAAATAGGTGCTTCCTTAATACTTGAAAAATAAAACATTATCATATTGAAAATCATAATATTTTATCCACTCAAATTAATACATTAAAGAGTTGAATAATAATTAGTATGTATCTAAAGAATACATAAAAGTATGTTTGTAGATTGAAAAATAGCCTTCACCTTCTCTGAAGATCCCTTAAGACAAATAATCACCAAAAATATACTGTAACTTATAAAACCTACCTCAAAATACAGAATTTCTTATTTTACATTCAAAAAAGAACTAATCAACCCTACAATCGAAAATAAGAGAATCAATATTGCCAGTAATTTTTTCATCCACAAATATTTCAATAACCTATCTTTTAATAAGCCTGCTCAATTGTAGAATGAGTAAATAATAATGTGAACTTCTTTCTCATTTATTTTTTTGATAAATTTAATATACAATCAATCAAGCTCATTTAACTCACTTCTTTATCAAAACCCCCATAAATAATTAAATGGATATTTTCACACAAATCGACATATTAATTAATATTCAATTTATTCAATAATTTCAATACCATCATGATTATTATTTATTAGAATAGTATATTTTCACAACAATAATATTAAATTATATTCTTTATGTTTAAATTATTTTAAAAAATCAATATATCCAGTATTAAACACAATCTTAGAACACTTTAATTTAAAAGTAAAGAATATATCATTAATTAAATCAAAAAGATATAATATATTTCCAATTTTTAAATTAATTTTTACAAATCATATCCTTATATACTTTTTGTTTCATTTATTATTCTAATACTTCTATTAATAATATTCTGTATATTAATAAAAGTATTAAGAACTTATATGAAAGGATTTAAGATTGAGTGTTAAATAAGTATATCCAATACATATAACTCATTATTCATTCATAAGTGATAGTTTAAACTTTTTTAATACCTCTTACATATTAATGATTGATAGAATGACTAATACAATTTCAAAATTCAAAAAAAGATATAATTATATAAATTTAATTATAGTATTTAGAATTAGTTGCTAAATATTTTGCTAAATCAAATATTTTAATAATGTGCAAATTTATAATATAGAATTCATCAAGTTCAAAGAAATTGACATCAAATAGTAAATATTAGTATAAATAATAACATTTTTAATCAATAGTTATAAGAGAGTGGACAATCAAGAATTTAATTACAATTATCAATGAAAATTTCATTTACATACGTTTATTACTCAATTTATCGCTCTAATGTGGGCTGAATAAATTTCTAGTTTTAATTAAATATATCAATTGATAATTAATAACTTATCATGTAATTAATCGACATGACCTTTTATAAATAATGCTTTTAAATCTTGTAAAGGCTTTTCAACTTAAACTTTTGTCAAAGGAAGAGAAGCTGTATTTAAATGGTTAAATTCTTAAACTTGAGATAACTGCTGATGATATTATTTCACTCAAAAATCTATCAAAATTCCTTCTCTCTTGTTTGAAATAACAGCATTTCAACTTTATCAAAGCTTCAAGCAAATCCTAGTTAGACATTATAGATGAGGAGATAGATGAAGAATAACTTTGAATTGATAATTTCTAGAGTAGACTCAAGAAATAATTACTAAATGTGTGTGTATTATTTTTATAAGAAATATCATAAATAACATGTCTCCTTATACCTCTCTTTGTTTAAGTGTATTTTCAGATAATAATTCAAAGTATAAAATATCCAGTTTTTCAACTCTAATTTAATTAAGAAAGTTGAAAATAACCGTCATTTTTCTAATTCTTGAGAAATACAACTAAATCCAAGAATTCAGATATATCTCAATTAATAATGTATGATAAATAATAATGAATCGTAATGAATTATTAATTTATATGTATTTATTTTGTTATTTTTGGATATTCCAAAATAAACAACTAATAAAAGCTCAGTCATTTGTTTTTATTTTCTATTATTCCCTCAAAATTCAGGGGTCTTCAATAGTTTACGTGTGTTTATACATTTACAATTAAATAATTAGTTAGTAAATAGTTATCAGTTTGGAGGTTTAAATGTAGGCTGTTTGAAATAGGAATCAAATTAAAAATTATTACAATTTATAAGGTTTTCCTATTCTTGAGTATTATTTAAAAAAGAATAAAGCTTACTTAATAAGCGAAACAAAACAGTTCAATGGATACTCATAACTAAATTATTTAAGAAGAATTGATATAATGTATTCAAGGGAATGAGAAATTATGGATGAAAGAAAATGAAAATTTTTAAATATTTAATAGAACAAATTAATAAAATAATTCTCAAAAAGGAACTGAAATATATTCGAATTCCTCTTTTTGTCCCAGTAAATGAATTTGAAATCTTTTTTAGACTAATTGATCGTAATTAGATAAATTATTTAATTCAGTATGGAGAATCATTATTTAAATCAATTTTGAATTGGATTTGAAAATCAAAAAGATGCTTAGATTTAAAAAGATTTAAAAGCCTCAAGGTTTCATTAGAGAATCTTAAAATAATTAACACAAATAATTTTTACGTTCTATCAAAATCATGATGAAATTTTAATTAAAAAATATTAGAAACAAAGAGGAGTCCAAAGTCCTATGAAATTTACAACAAGTAAATAAATTATAGCAGTAAATTTGTGAAGCATAAAAATAGACTTGCAGAGTTTATTATTATTTGATTATATTAGAATTTATTGAATCAAATTATGAAATGTAATTATAATACTTATAGTTATTTTTTACCATTTTTTTACCAATTTTTTTCTAGTTTTTATTTCATTGCTCTCAATATAGTTATTTTGAGTTGTTAACTGGTGTTCAAATTAGATCGATTTCATCAATATATTCCTATATTCTTATACCTTCAACATTAAAATAAAAAATATTTATATCTCATTTTTTTTATTTAAAGACGTTGAATTAAAAAATGGATGCTTATGAAACAGAATTGATTAACGAATAACAACAAACTTCTAATACGCAGAGAGTAAATAACGTATTTTTTACACATAGAAAGCTTAAATTAAACATAAAGAAGTCATAAGTACTTCATAAAGATGCCTTTATTGCAATTTATCTATTTCAACAATAAAGTATTCCCTCTTAACAGATATATATAGATATATATTATTTACTACAAATATTTTTTGTTCCTAAAAATTACTTTATCCTTCTGAGCATAAATTTATAATTTATAATGATTATTAACAGCATTGTTGCTGGAATTCACAATTTGATTAAGGAATATAAAGAAGATTCATGCATTAAGGATAAAAACTATAATTAGAATCTGATTAATTATTTATCAATTTTAAATAGAATGGATTTTTATGAGTATTTTATTGTCTTATGATAAGGTTTGGGCAAATCATTTCTTTAAATTATATTTCACACTAAATCTTAATTAATATATTAATTGACTAAGATAGAGAGTACAATTTAAAAAATAATAATGTAATTAAATTGAAAAATTAACAAATAATCATCACATGCATTTTAAGTTAACTTCAAATTCGGCTATGTCAATAATTTGAATTTGTTTTAGTTGTAATTTTTCCAACACTTCAGAATCGTTGATATTATCATGGGTGGTTGCCAACAGCCTAAATGTAATTTTCTAAGAAGAATCATCTGGACCTAAGTATTTATATTGAATCAATTCGATTCCAATATCTTGATCAGGATCAATTGCTGTTAGGTTCCTACTAATATTAGGTATTACACAAGTTAGTTGTTTCTCAGTTTGACCAATCAAAATTAAACTATTTACCATATCCTTGACATGTGCCCATCTAATATGAGGGCGCTTACCTGGATTTATTAAATATCCATTTTTCACAATAGATTTATTCTCCTTTGAAAAATCAACTTATAAACTAAATTAAGTAGAATTGTCAATAGCTCTCCCTAATAAATTACCAGTTGCTCCTCCAATCATGCCTCCAATCACGCCTCCAAATATAATCCCAGCAGGGCCTGCTAAAGAGCCTAAAGCCGCACCACCTTAATAACCTAAGCAACCTAATCCTATTGTACCTCCAGATTTTATAGCCATTAATGTACAATGGTAAACTTTCTCACTTTCACTCAAGAAATCTGACACATATACCCTTGAAATAAATTTGATAGCACTAAATCCTATTCCAACATAAGGAATGCATCCTAACAAAGTAGATTAACCATTAATTAATAACTCTTCAGGTCCATCAATTAAGAGATCTACTATAAAACTACCAGCTACTCCTGCAATTCCACCATTATTTAACATTTCTCCTATAGGGACTTGTTTAAAATAATTATTTTTAATTGTACTTATTTACAACATTTATAAATTGTTATTAATATTGATAATATATTTTTGGTTTATGAATTGTTATTATGAATTTTACAAATATTCTTTCTAACATTCAATGTCGATTATTCCTTTTTTTATTAATGTGCAAATATTTTATTTTAATCATTTCATAACTTAATCAATATGTAATTTGGCAATTTCTGCTGATTAATCATCGTATCTACATTTTACTATTTCAGTGTATGTTTTTGTTAGAGATGTTATTTGATTCACAATATTAGGGTATTTAGAATGAAAGAAAATCTGTTATAATTAATTATGAATCAATTAAAATGTATTTTCCAATTCAGTTTCAATACTCGAGAATATTTTTCTCTAAATTTCTTTGTTATAGTTTTAATTTGAAAATGATATCAATTCAAAAATTCTTTTACTTTGAAAATTCACCAATGTATCTATTTTAGGCTTTATCTTCTATTCAATTATTGAATCCCAATAAATCTTTCTCTTAGTAGGATCTAGTGCAAAAGCATAATTATTCTTCACTTATTTAATTTTCACTGTATAAATTTACTTGCTTCCTTCTTATGTGAATGTTATTTCCTATACAATGAATTCAAACTATGGGAATAATATTACTTCTTTTTCAACTGGATAATGGGAATGATAGTCTTATAACTGAAAAAATGGATGAGGAGCATCTTTATCCAATGTGATTTCATATAATATTCCATATTCCTTTTCTTTAGCATACATCTTCGCAACGTCTCTTACTTAAGACGCACTAGCAATTGTATTCCAAAATATTGAGGCTCCCTCATCTCTTGATTAGTTTAGATCTTTAATAATTTATTAAAAGATTCCTTATTAGTCAAAGGATGTACCTCTAAAAAGATTTTGAAATTTATCTTCTTTGCTTTAATTGTCCTTAAAACCTTAATAAAGACATGCAATAATGTTTTTTATTGGTTAATAATCATGCTAAGCAAACAATTAGTTAAACTTTTCATAAATCTCATTTCTGCTATAAATATAAATAAATTTCTCAAACAAATCTAAGTTTTTGTTCGTTTTTTTTTTTTTTTTTTTTNTAAATTTGATAGCACTAAATCCTATTCCAACATAAGGAATGCATCCTAACAAAGTAGATTAACCATTAATTAATAACTCTTCAGGTCCATCAATTAAGAGATCTACTATAAAACTACCAGCTACTCCTGCAATTCCACCATTATTTAACATTTCTCCTATAGGGACTTGTTTAAAATAATTATTTTTAATTGTACTTATTTACAACATTTATAAATTGTTATTAATATTGATAATATATTTTTGGTTTATGAATTGTTATTATGAATTTTACAAATATTCTTTCTAACATTCAATGTCGATTATTCCTTTTTTTATTAATGTGCAAATATTTTATTTTAATCATTTCATAACTTAATCAATATGTAATTTGGCAATTTCTGCTGATTAATCATCGTATCTACATTTTACTATTTCAGTGTATGTTTTTGTTAGAGATGTTATTTGATTCACAATATTAGGGTATTTAGAATGAAAGAAAATCTGTTATAATTAATTATGAATCAATTAAAATGTATTTTCCAATTCAGTTTCAATACTCGAGAATATTTTTCTCTAAATTTCTTTGTTATAGTTTTAATTTGAAAATGATATCAATTCAAAAATTCTTTTACTTTGAAAATTCACCAATGTATCTATTTTAGGCTTTATCTTCTATTCAATTATTGAATCCCAATAAATCTTTCTCTTAGTAGGATCTAGTGCAAAAGCATAATTATTCTTCACTTATTTAATTTTCACTGTATAAATTTACTTGCTTCCTTCTTATGTGAATGTTATTTCCTATACAATGAATTCAAACTATGGGAATAATATTACTTCTTTTTCAACTGGATAATGGGAATGATAGTCTTATAACTGAAAAAATGGATGAGGAGCATCTTTATCCAATGTGATTTCATATAATATTCCATATTCCTTTTCTTTAGCATACATCTTCGCAACGTCTCTTACTTAAGACGCACTAGCAATTGTATTCCAAAATATTGAGGCTCCCTCATCTCTTGATTAGTTTAGATCTTTAATAATTTATTAAAAGATTCCTTATTAGTCAAAGGATGTACCTCTAAAAAGATTTTGAAATTTATCTTCTTTGCTTTAATTGTCCTTAAAACCTTAATAAAGACATGCAATAATGTTTTTTATTGGTTAATAATCATGCTAAGCAAACAATTAGTTAAACTTTTCATAAATCTCATTTCTGCTATAAATATAAATAAATTTCTCAAACAAATCTAAGTTTTTGTTCGTTTTTTTTTTTTTTTTTATTCTTATTTGTCTAAATCTTTTAAAATATTACTCATTTTTTGTTATTTATTTTCAATGAGTAAATTTTCTATTTCACCAAAAACATCTTATTAATTTGGTCTTTTCTCTTCTTTTATTTCTTCTATTGCAACTAAAAATTAGATACTCACATGATATTTTGAATGTTGATATTCCATTGATTGTTGTTATGGAGGTGATAATAATTTGATGAGTTAGTTTTGAATATCAGAGTAATTCATACTCATAATAACATTTTCATGAGCAGATTAAAATGAATCCGACACTATTGATTAAATTTAGAAATTATTCATGAACAAGTCTAAATGATTTTGTCTTCTACCACAAAATACAATTATGTTTTTTTTTGTATGTTTTACAAGTTAATAAGCATATTATCCACTTGTTAGGATTGTTACATCTTTGTCACCAATTTTCTACAATATTTTAATTGCCTCAGATATATCATTAAAGGCTTGAAATGCATTCTAGTAATCAGTTTGGAGTTTTTCACAATATAATTTATTCTCCCAATTAGAAATTTGGCTGTCAGTCCAAATAATAATAGGATACTCTTAATTTTTTTAATAGAATTAATCCATTTTTAAATAAGATTAATCTAACAATAATTTTTTTTGGATTTAAAAAGCTTGAATAATCATAAAACTGTCACATTTTTTTTAATAGAATTTTGTAACTTGAATAAATCAAGTTCTGATTTTAATAAATCTTAGAAAGGGTAAGCTAAAAAAAATCATGACGATTATTAAAAATGCCCATTTTGCCAAAATTCTAAAAAAATCCTAATTTTGCTTTGAAGAAATTGAAGAACAAATCTAATAAATAGTACAAAAGCCTTATTCTTAGTATTCCAATAATGGATCGGATAGTGGTAAAGAACTTATAAAGAAACTTAATTTATAAAATTTACCATTTGTGTTGTTAATAAAAAGAATCTGCTTTCATGATTGAAAAATATTAAACTAACAATTAAATGAATATTTTTTTTATTCCATATGGAGAACTGGGTTTTGAAGAAAGAATCGACATTCCTTGAAAAAGAGTTATAGCTGAGTTTGACCCTTCATCTTCGATTTCTTTAATGAAATCAATTAAATACTTTTCCAAGTTTGGTAAAGCCTAATTGTAAAACTTAAATTCATTTTCCTACTATTTCAAATTATTTATAAGTAATAATATAAATTAAACTTTTTTTAATTACTTATTCTACAAAAACCCATTGCAAAGTTTGTATCAATCTCAACACATTTCTTACAATCTTATAATGCTGGATCAAATATTGATTTTCTCCAATAAATTGTTGCTTAAATTATATGTATTCATTTTTACCTCTTTAATAATAACTTTCAGCTTAATTATTATTTATGGATATGCTTTAATTAACATCTTCTAAAGCCTTATCATATTATTTCATCTTTTCATATAGTTCACCTAAATTCTAATTTACAACATCAACTTCTTAGATTGTAGGCTTCAGCAAATTTAGAATCAAGATTCAATGCATTATTAATTTCTTATAATGTTTCTTCAATTTTATATGTAATTTTCAACTACCAGAAAATTTTGGCAAATATTTTTTAGAATGTACATCATTCTTCTTTTTTTGTAAATTTTATCATCCTATCGTTTTTTTATATTGGCATTTTGATGATTTAAATCTCTAGTTACTATCATCATGTACTTCATGTCTAAATTGAACAATCATATTGAAGTTTTAAAAAATTTTTTTTTATTGTATTGAAACATAATCTCTGAATATAATATTTAAGCTGTTTTGAACCTAAAATTGTTACAGATAATAGAAATTAAATAAAGAGCAACATTTCTAAAACTACATTTTTAATCGAATGATATTTTAATGAAAATGTATAAATTTAATATTATTATGTTTTGTAAATTTGATTATATTTAATATGAACACACATTTTCTGATTTGAAATTAAATATTCTTAATAGATTTTATGATGCTGCTTAATTTTTATTTATGAAATGATAGAAAATATTAGTGGAACTTCTGGAACATAAATTAATATTAAAATACTACTATTTTTATCTAAATTCTTTTGAGTAAGTATGCATTTTAATCATTTTGATGAGTCACATCAATTAATTAGGTCCTTTTATACCACCTTATAATGTAATGTATCCTTACCGAAATACTTACTTACCTTACTATTATCCAGATGAGATGAAGGAATTACATTAATAAAGTACCTATCGAGTAGAAATGCTTAAATGGTACAATAATTACATCCAAATCTAGGTTGGCTACCCTTGAGATCAATGATTAGTATCGGATTTTTTAAATTAAAGGCTAAGCGAGTACAATTCCAATACTTTAGATGTATATTTATGATAGACTTTTTGTTCCCTCCCATTATGGAATAAAATAAAGACAGTAATTGAAAGATTTTTACTAGGTTGAACTTGCAAGAGAGGTTTGATGACTAATTTATAATGACATCTAAATAACTTCATTCAAGAGCTGAAGTAAAAAATTTTATAAAAAAGGAATTTTATGAATTGTTGTAAATCATTGATGAAGAATAGTTTATGGATTCAATTATTTTAGTTGACGGTGCCTTAAATAAGTTAGATCATTTTTTTTAACTCCTTCAGGACATTTCAAATTATAAATTTCTTTCAAAACCACCAAAAGCTACTCATGAAAAAGTTGAGGATCCTGAATGGTTTTCTTAGAAATCTTACCATAGTTGTATTGAATGGATTGTGAGAGAATACGAAAAGAATCTAGCTTATTATTTTGCAATTTCGCATGATAAGAAAAAGAAAATCAAGGATAATAATTAAACCACAATTAAAAATAATAATTTTGAACTCTAAAAATTTTTTTAATTAAATATAGCTAACAATAGAGAGTAGGTATTCTTTTATCATTATTTTTCATAGCTAATAAAGTATTATGAATAAATAACTAATGAAATCTAAACAAAATCTGGAAATCTGGAAAATATATTTTATTCTAATATTTTTTAAAGTCCTGCTATTAAAACTTATAAATCACAGGCAGAAATTTAAGCTTCATTTATTCAAAAGTGCAATACTGATTAAAATATAATAAGTTCTATGTAAATAACAAAGATGAGTGAACTTATTGAATAAAAAACTTATTATCTCAAAAAATTCTATACTATATTTCTTAACCTTTATCAAGAGCACTTAGAATAAGAATTATTAAGTAGTGAATCTTAATCTAAATCTAAAACTTCAAAAAGGAAGAAAAAGTAAAAAAAACCCTAAAAACAAACTTTAGTACAGAATGTTTAATCAGAGGAGTCATTAATAAGGAATAATTCTAGAAATGATTTATCCTCCATGTAACTTTATTTTAACATTTAGTGAGAACTTAACAAGTGATTAATCAACATAAGAAGAAGCATCCATAAGATGCTTGGTTTAAGAGTTAAAGAATACAAAATGTATTTAGGAAATATAATTGGGAAATTCATTTGAATCTTTTAAGCAATCAACATTTAAAGAAGAGGAATAGTGGATTTAAATTTCCTTAGATTCTGTGTAATTAATAATTTAATTATCTAATTCTTGCCTGATTGAAGAACAAGAATTTGCCTAAAAGTATTAATTAAATATCAAGTAATGTATTAAAAAGAATAAATAAAAATATCAATAGCAAAATATTGAAAAATTTGATCAACAGAATATTTCTAAAGATAAATATTCAAAATCTTAATCATTATAACCCTCTTCCTAGAATTCGGCCTTTGAAGCATAAATGTAAAAAAATAAACAGACACCATCTTAGTAAAGCCTTTATAATGTATAAAAAATAAAAAATGAGGAAAACTTAACTCAATTTTGTAATAGTAAGGATAATAATAAATGTTTGGTATAATCTTCTGTTAATTTACAATAACAATAGAAATCTATATCTGATAAATCAATGAAAATAATTATTGAAGATAATACCAAGTTAGGGGAAAAAAAGATGCTTGAATTCATGACGATGGATATTATTAATTTTACTGATATCATTTTATAGGAATTTGATGATCTATTGCCATTTAGAGAATTAGTTTATAATAGAGTCAAAGTAACAATATAGAGCTTATTTTTTTTGCATGATGATAAAATTAAGTAAAAAACTAAAAATAATAATATATATAAAGGCTCTTTGGTTCTTGTGCAACAGGACTTGCATTGATAGATTCCGACATTGATATTGGCATTATTTCGTTTGAAGGTTTTGTGAAATCATCGCTTCGATAACCATTTAACTAATTGTATAATACATTTCTATAAACGAAATGGGTAACAAAATCAAAGTACACATTAAGATGGATAGTAGATCTATTTTTAACACAATGGTTCCTGTGATAAAACTTGAAATAGATCCATTAATACCTTTTAGCGAATTTGATTCAAGATATTTAAACCTAGAAGATAATTTAATAAAAAAGTGGAAATCCATAAAGCAAAAGGTGAAATCAGGAATAAAAGTGGATATTTCATTTAGTTTTCATCATAATCATTTAGGATATGAATCAACTGATATGATTATAAAATGGATGTAGGAATATCCAACTATCCAATAATTGGTTTTGATTTTGAAAACTATAATAAAAAAATTAGGATGTTCAGAAGCTTTTAATGGTATATATTTATATTCCATAAATTTAAGGTGGATTATCCTCGTTCTCTTTAATTGTGATGGTTTACTGTTATCTACGAGAGAATCGAGTTGAATCAGAATTATTGGGTCAATAATTTTTAGATATGATGTACTTCTTTTCTCATGAATTCTCACCAGATATTTAAGGTATAGGTTTACCAAGTTTAGATTAATTTATAGAGCCTAACAAACCAAGGTATAATGAAAAAATTAATATTAGTTATTTTTTTTTATTGACTGATTATTGTTTACCTCCATTGCCAATAACAATATTTTCTCCACTTAACAATAGATTGATTAGTGCTTAATGTGTTTAAATTGATAGCATATTGAAATTCTTCAAAAGAATATATGATTAATCATAATAAAATTTAGAATTTTTCAATGTTTATGTGACATATGGGAAGAAAAAGTAATAAAGATAAAGTAAGGAGATTATAAACTTTATTAACTAAATCTTAATGATGATTGAATAAATAAAATGACTATGATTTGTAAATAGAAATAGGTTTTATTTCATTCACAATCTAAATTAGAATATTCATATTATTATTTATTATCAATAATTTATAAATTTTCATAATTTAAAATGATTTGATGAAAAAGTAATTCTGAAATTTAGTCATAAAAATGTCTAACCTAAAAAATTAAAATTAAGATAGTAAAGGTTTAGCTATTTTTAAATGATTGCTCAAATAATTTAATGAAATTTCTTATTCTGTAATTGTAACCTTAATTTAATTAAGATTCAAAAATTTAATAATTCCATCCTACTTGAACTCACCCTAAAAAAACAATCGTTATTTTAAATGATTTATTATAATTTTATTTAATTACAAATTAATAGATGATGGTATCGTTTTCTAAAATGAAAAGAATTCTTATAGATGTCTAATTACTTTTATATCATAAATGTCAATTAAAACAATAAAACAGAATGATTACATAAATATGGGTTAGATGAAAAATATTCTATTCTTGTTAATTAATTCATTATAACGATTACAAGTAGATTTATAAATAAAATTGCTAAATTATTATTTTAGAAGAAATATTTTTTTTAATGAAACTACTGCTATTATTATAAATCAAATTTAGCATCCACTTTTTGTAATGAAACAGGAGGTTTACACTAGTTAATAGTTTTTCTTATTTTTTATGCCCAATACATGGAATCAACCTCAATAATTAAGCTTTTAAATCTAATGTTTATTAGTATTGAAGAGAATGAAAAGTAATAATACGTATTTTTTTGGGAAACTGAGCATTCTTAATCAGTTTGATAGAGTAAAGCAGGTTCTAAGTATATATCTACTGGCATTCTTAACACCTTCTTAAATATAGTTAATTTAAAATGAGAATTTTAATAATCCAAATTTATTCACTCATGACAATTAACAATACTTAGATTTTACATTTTATTTTAAACTATGTAAATTTAATTCAATTATAAAATTATTATAAATCCAAAAAGTGGTTTACTTTGAGTGTTAGTATATCTTTAAATTACTATTTTAATATTAATCATATTTAAATAGTATATTAATACTGTTTTATGAACTTTGAAAAATAATAGTAATGAATAAAATAATAATTATGTTATTTCTTCTAACTATTTTAGTATATGGATAGATTTAATATGATTGATAAAATTACCTTCATAATCCAACAGGAATTTAAATTTTTTATATAGTTTGTATTTTATTCTAAGGAAATATTCTTATTATTAATTATTATGAAATAAAAACTTTTTCTAATGAAAACTCATTCATATGCTTTGGATCATAGTTATGGTCCTAAATAGAATATGAATACTTCACAAGTAAGTCACTCCATATAGCCATCACCAAGGTCATTAGCCACTTAGAAAAGCCAAAATAGTGTGATTGAATTGCCTACTCGCTTTTAAAGTTAGGATTTAAGTGTAATATTAGAATCTGAGTAAGATCCTAAAATGAAACGTAAGTATATTTTGAAATGAAGGCTATAAATATTAGTGCAAGAATCCATAGTTAGTGAGATTGGAAAAAATTTAAGAGTTAGTATACAATAAGAAATTATAAAATAAATGTAAATACACAGAAAAGAGTAGAAACATCAAAAAAGCAGTTTCAGTTCCAAAAGGTAGTGTATCTATAATGCTAAATAATTAAACATAAAAACATTCTAATTTCAATCTAACAAAAAAAGTAACTGCTAGATCTAAGTTTAAAATGAAGTGGAAAACTATATAATGGCTTTTAAAAAATAGAAAGGAAGCAATAACTTAACTATTTAGCAATTATTAAGTTATGGTTAAATATGCAAAACAAAAATAAAATGGTCTCAATAAAGCAGAATTTATAGATTTATTAAGTGTTGTAGGATTGAGCACTGATCTTTCAGAAAAACTATTTTATGTTTTCGATGAAGATTAGAGTGGCACAATAGATTATAAGGAGTTAATTGTTGGATTAGAAGTTTTTAAGGAAGACTCAATTGAAGAGAAAATGAAAGTATTTTTTGAAATTTGTGATACTGATGGAAGTGGAGCCATCTCTGAATAAGAATTATATAATGTCTTAAAATTAAATATAGCATCATTTAGTGATAGATAGAAATTAAAAAAAACAATTTCAAAGATTTTTATAGAATGTGATATCAATGGAGATGGTTAATTAGATAAACAAGAAGTATTAGAAGCAGCAAAAAATAATTTTACTTTAAGATAACTCTTATAATAAGGAATAAGAGATGTTAAATAAATTGACAATTTGATTGATAATGATCTCCATGAGAATTTTAATGAGTGGGTTCCTGCATCTGCCAATTTTGTCAATTATAAAGAAGGAATTTTCTATCCTTACAATGATAAACTATTGCAAGCATTCAAAGAAATGGAAGAAGTATTTAGATATCATTATTATTTCTAGATTTATGATAAAAAAGAAAAGATTTTTAAATATGTTCATAGAAATGAATAAAGCAACCCATTTAATTAGGATGCATGAATTTATATTTTATTTAAATTTATATTCCTCATAAATCTTGTCTGTCTCAATTAGTTTATTTGATATACTAATTATTAATAAATCTCTAAAATTTTTGTATATAATTTTTTTAATAAAGATTGAATCTAATAGAGTTGGTGAAAATATGTATATTGAGAAAAATAGTGTTATATTTTAGCAAATAGTTTTAATTAATCAATACTGAGTAAGAATATAATGATTTGATTTAAGTATTAAATTAAATAAAAAAGGAGATGCAAGATTATTAACAATAAAAACATCGTCAATTATAACAGCATGAAATTGATTATTTATAAAAAAATATACATTTTTACTCAACTACAAAATATATTTGAGCTTCTTAAATCACTTCCAAATTCTTAATAGATAATAATTTAATTGTTAAATTTAATACCATTGAATATTTTTCATATTTTTTTACTAAAGAGGAATTCATAATATTGAAATTGAACTTCAATTTTTTTGGTTATTATTTCTCAATTATTTTATTCAATTAGTAAAAGCATATCTCAATGACAGGTTGCACAAAGTTAATTCAAAATGTTAAAAAAAAATGAATGGAATAAGTTGGAAATAGAATATACCTCAAATCCTTAAAAAAATTAGAGTTGCACATCAAGCTTTTAGGCTAAAATAGACAGTTTGGCATTTAAATTATCATTACTACTTACAAATATAAATATTGATTAAAAAAATATTATAAAATATTTTAAATATATTATATTTTATTTCAAATCCAAACACTAAATATTACTAGGCTTAGAAGGATTATGACACCTTTTGAAGCACTTCTTTCTGGATCTACGAGATCGTCACTTAAACTGTAGGTTCGCTTTTCAATAGGGTATGGTCTTGATCCATCGACAGGTCTAGCTCCTAAATATAAACGATTCTGTCTCATATAGATTATATCATTTTCTTTGACCTATTCATCTTTTGATAATCCTAATCCAGGGAAATCCTTTTAAGTTAGGTTTGCCCTTTAATTCAATTGAAAAGGATCAACACCTGCTGGTAAATTTTAATTAAAAGCTGACACTATAGCTTCAGATTTTGGTGTTAGATAAACTTCATTCACAACAAACTATGTAAATTGAGCACCAGGAACAACAGAAGATGCATCCCCTTCCCAAATTAGTGAACCAATCATTTCAAAATCTAATAGTGACTCTGTTTGTCCAGGACCAGGAAATCTATTAATAATTAGATCGAATGAGGAGTCATCTGGAAAACTTAATTCTCTAGTTATATAAATTGTAATCACTTGACCCTGATTATCAAATCCTGGTCTAACCTCTTTTGCAATACTACTCCAAACTCCAGTGACCATTTCTTCTTTGAGCTCTTCCAAAGTTAGAGGGGTCGTATCATCAGAGAAAGGTATCAATGGTGGGCATATACCTTGTGGTGGCTGTTCAAGAGAAGCCACATTGCCAAATGCATCAACTTCACCCATATATAAATAATTGTCATGAAAATATATTAAGTCGTATACTACTAGAGGTTGTCCAGCTAATTTATTAAATGCAGGGACTGCTAATAATGTTATATCTTGAGGTTTGTCTTTAACCCAAGTAATACCTTCCGTTTAAATTTGGTTAAATTAAGTTACAACTTCATCTGTATGAAGTGTTAAGATTAGTGTCTTATTAAGATTAAATTAGCAAAGGAAAGCTCCTTGAATAGAACTGCTTTCACCTTAGTATGTTATAATTCCGCTTCCTTCATAAGTTTAACGTCTGTTAGATCCAGAATGATCATTGAAAATTTCAATTTTCATTGAGAATTCTGAATCTGATGTGAAATTCCATTATCTTCTCACATATGTGGGGAAGATTTGGCCTCCTAATTCGAATGGATTCAATTCTAAAGCAAGACTTCTCCAATCATTGACAATTTGATCTTTAATTTCATCCAAGGTCAATGAATTTGTTTAGGTCATCAAACAACCCAATAATAAGAAGATTAGGTATGCTTTTGAAATACTTTCCATTATTATATAATGATGTTTTTGGGATTATTGGATTGATTATTTATAAGATCAAAAAGAATTTCTAAATTCCTAAAAAGTAAATCATAATAATTAATTTTAAAAAAATGTGACTTTTGATTTATAATAATCTGTAATATTTAATTTTTTAATTGCATTATATTATTTATAATACGAATTATGAAATTTTGAAATAATATACTATAAAATACTGATTTTTTTCATATAGAGAAAACTATTATCTAATTATAATTAAAAAAAATGAATTAATATAAATTTCTACTGCAACAAGCAATCCTTCCAACTTTTAAATCGATTTTAATAATAAAAGTAAGTAAATAAGTTTATCTTTTCTAATTCACCTTCTCAACATTCAAAAATGCTTTTATACTTTTATTAAATTTAGAATGGCTAAATGATTAAAACTTTATATATATTAAATATAGATGATATTTTGGGGTTTATAAAAGTTGTATTCAATGTAATTTATAGTAAAAAGAATAAAAATTGAGAATATAATAATTAGAAGTATTATATTAATTTCACATTTTAATTATAAATCAACTAATTGAATAAAATTTCTTGTAATATCTCATAACTTGCTATTCTTGACCTCCACATGGTAAAAGCTTAGTTGGAATGTTGAGAGGTCTAAGTGTATTAGCACTAACAAGCATAAGGGATGAAGAAAGACTCAAGAAATCTGATAATAGACTCTCTTGTATATTTAATTTGATAGGTTCTCTAAGAGTGTTATCTTAACAACATCTTCTAAAATCATTTAACTCTGCATCTTATATCAATACATCATTATATATTTAATATAAACTGATTGTAGCTGATGATGAGAATGTTGGATAACTATCTAAAGTATTTTAATAGTAATACCTATGATATGAATAAATTAATCTTTTACAAATTGTGCATAATCGTACACATCTTAATAGACTTATATTTACATATTTTTAAATGTGGGTGTATATAGTGTGAGTAATTGAAGCCCCATATTTGATAAATTCTAAACCTTATGAGCAGTAATAACTACAATCTAAGGATTGTCTAGTTTTTCAACCTTTCCATTTTTAATTGCTTAATATAATTCATGTACAGATGCTGTCTTCTATAAATAAGAATAGTAGATCCTAACAATTGAGGATTCAGCACAAATATTCTTATTAAGAAATTGTTCTGCAATCAAAGATGCAAGAGGAGAATATTCTCTTAATGAATTATGCAAAATGCAAAGCGCGTGGATATTTAATTTCTATTCAAAAATATCTCCAAGAACCTCTACTATAACAAATTTAAAATACTTGGATTCTCCATTACTGCTTCTGACAACACATCTTTTGCAACTTGTAAGTCAATTGATTCATCTGTAATTTATTGAATTAATTCATATTTTACATTCATTATCATGAATTTATTATATTATTGTCATTAACAGTTAATTTTATGATTAGATTTGGAAAATCATCCTAATAAACAACCAAGAATCCTAAGAAACCAGACAACCTTGAAATATTAACACTACTTGATAATTGCACACGTATTTACAATGTTCCTAAAAATTAGTTATATTCAAAGATGATCGAATTGCATTAAGAAATATGGTAAAAGATGGAAATTAAGATGTGATTTCTATACTAAATAATTATAAGAAAATAACTAATCCTAAAGAAATGTCAACAGAACTTCGTAAATATTTAAGAAAAAAAGGAGAAAAGGAAAATGAAAAAGCTCCTTAATGTTAATCTCCAAAATCAAATAACAACCAAAAATTATTTCAATAATAACCTTAATAATTTCCAAATAGTCAAAAGAAATCATGTCCTGATTTATGGAAATCTGCAGATACTTCATCACCTAAAATTATTAATCTTGCAAAAACCAAAGAAATAACAAATGATGTTTAACTGTCTGAAATTATACTTACAGATAGAAATTAGAATGAAACAAAAGATCTTGAAAAAATATAGTATTATTCAACTAATAATCAATAATATATACAACAATTACAACCTACTTTTGATAAATCTGAGAGAAATTCAAATACTATTTAATAAGATAGTGAAATATTATATAGTTAAAATTAGTAATTTTTAGAGAAAGATATTGACATCAATGAAAAGAATGATTATATTGAATCAGAATCATCAAATGAAAGCATTCTAAAACAAATGACTGAGCCTCCTTTATAATTAATCCAAGATCAAACTATAAAAAATGATATTAAACCAACATAACTATTTTCCAGTCAAAACTCTAGTTATCTATAAATTAATATAGCCCAATCATATCTCTAACCTGCATTAACATAATAACCAGACTTATAATAAAATTTTAAATAAAGTGTAGAATAATAAAACAAAGAGAGAATTTAAGTAGGTGATCCTCATTAAAGTTATAGTTTCTTTAATTATTAAGACTGTTAAATATTGGCATAAACACAATATAAACATTTGTTTACTAATTGGCCTACACTTTTACATAAATTGGATAAACCAGAATATATCCCAAATTATAAATCAGTTCTTTATATAGACACTACTCCAGAATATTTATTCTCACTATTATTTCCTAATTCAGCTTATATTAGAATTAATTACTTCTAATTTTCAAATTAACTTAAGCAAACCTCTTTATAAATTAACATTGATGAACTATTTAAAGTACTTGATAAAGATGGAGATGATTGGATTAATTATAGAGAAACTGGTTCCATTCTAGAAAGTATTTGTTTATAATAGGAATAACCAAGAAATTTTATTAGAGAATTATTTGAATCATTAAAATAACCTTAAAGTTCTTCTAATGCAATTACATTGATAGATCTTCAATAATTAGAGAGAATATATTAGTTTTAGTTTGCTCGACAGTAAATTATTTATAATAATATTAGATTAATGTAAGAAATTGATATTTATTAAAATGGAAATTTAACATATTGGGATTTATTTATGCATAGAGATATTTATTTAATGCAAAAATTATGTGAATTAGTTATTCAATAACAAGATTAATACAATAATCAAGAATAACAATAATGACATAAATATATATATCTTAATACTTAATATTTTTGTATTAATAGACTCATTTTCCAACTTTCTACTTTAATATCTAAATAAGATCTTTCAAATTAATAGTTTCTTCTTTCTTTTCTATTAAATCTTTAAATTTGACAATCTCTTATTTCACTTCATCCTCTCCTATAACAATAGCATAAGGAATTTATTAATCATTTGCATAAGTTAATTACTTTCCTAAATTCCAATTTAATTTATAACAAACATCTGCCTTTATTCCATTAGACCATAATAAATCATAAATTTTAAACTTTTCAGCAACCATATCTATATTTTTAGATGGAATTGTAGCAACAATACAATCAGACTAATTTTCACGTAAAACTATTCCACTCTTCTTATATTTTTCCTCTAATATAGCAAATATTCTTTCTATTCCAATTGATGCACCAACACATGGAATACTATTTTTTGAAAACATACCTACTAAATCATCATAACGACCACTAAATAGATAAAAAATAAATAATTTACCCTCCAGATATTGAACCTAATTATCCTCCTAATAATACAGTTTCTTAGATTAATCCAGTATAATAATCAAGTCCTCTTGCTAAAGAGAGATCAAAGATTACATTTTTTAATCCATTCATATATTTCAATAAATTAAATAAAAGTTCCATCTCATCCAAAGCTTCTTTTCCTTATTATTCAAATAGCTTTTATTCTTTGAGTTATTAAATCAATTAGAAAGGCTCTCCTCTCAATTAAACCATTTTGCTTAAGATATCTGCTTATTCTTCACTAACTCCTTTTTTCTCAACTAATTCTTATCTAATTTCTTTCCATGGTTATTTATCCAATTTATCAATACTTGAACAAACTGTTTTAAATTAAGTTTTAGGAATTCCAGCAATTTAAATCATTGCATCTAATAATTTTCTATTAGATATTTTAATTTGAAAAGGTCCTAAATCTAATTTTGTAAATATTTGATCAATTATTTTTATTAATTCTGCATCAGCTACCATAGGATCATTTCTAATATATAATATTATATTAATACTCTCCTGCAATATCAAAATCACATTAAAAGAATTCACGGAATCTCCCTTATTATATAGATGGATTGTCTCTTCTATAAACCTTTCCAATGTGATATCTTTTCAATTTCTTATATCCATGAGTAGCTAGATATCTGGCAAATGGTACTGTTAAATCATATCGTAAAGATAAGATTTCACCTCCTTAATCTTATAAATCATATATCAATTTTCCTCCTTCTTCACCATATTTACCAATTAAGGTTTCTTTTAACTCAAAAACAGGAGTATCAATTTCAACTGCTCCATGTTACTCAAATACATCTGTAATTATTTTAAATGCTTGTCTCCTTATCACCATTTATTAAGGTAAGAAATCTCTTGTGCCTTTAGGATTTTTGACTGCTAATTATTTTTCTTTAGGTTATTATTTAGGTTATTATTATTATTTTAATTACTCTTTGTTTTGTACTTATTCCTCTTTTTGCTATTCTGGATTTTAATCCATCAATTAAAAATTTATATTATATTTTTTAATACAATATGCAAATTAGCTTTGAAATATTGAATATTATCTGAGTACACCTAAACCAAGAATTCTTTTAGCTATCATTATTCTTTTATTAAATTATAAAATTAATTGTGTTTATATTTGCAATCTATTTCTCATAGATTAAATTCTTCTCTGCTTTAAAAAAAATATAAAGTATAAAAATAGAGAATAATTCAATTACTTTAATAAGTAAATATCATAATTATTTTAAAGAACTCATTGTCTTTGGCTCTAATAAGATTTCATATGGTATTAGAGTCAAACTTAATCTCATTAACTTCATTCTTGCACTAACATATTTTAACCAAAAATATGAGATAGAACCTAGAATAATCAACAAACCAAGTCCTGTAATATAAATGTATAATTGCATAATTGTAGTGGCTTATTATAATTTTGATTAATTTTATTCGAATAAATTATCTCCTATAATTTATAATAACTTTCCAGAGTCAAGATAATATTCTACAAATTAATTAATATGAATTTGTGTTTTCAAAAATGATACTGTTTCTTATATAGTTTTTACTTACATTTCTTTTGATTAAATTTCCTTTGAGAAATACAAATTTAAAGTCTTTGTAAATTCTTAAACACATCCAGTTATACCTCCAGATAAAAAATCAAAATTATTATCTTCTAACCATGGATTACCATATGTTGTTTTGAAGGAATCAGGAACAGAAAAATTTTGATTTGATACTCTAATATTACAGAATGGTATCTCTTCACTCATATAATTACAGAGACTATCCTCAAAATACATCAATAGTTCTTTCTTTTGAGCTTCTAAAAGTCCAGATTAACTAGCAAGGGAATCATATATACTTCTCATAGCATCCTAAAATCCATCTGTTTATTCAGTAAAGAGATCTATTATTACTTAATTATTCATATCAATATTAATATTTTAGAATTTTTCCTTTAATTAATCACTTATAACTTATTAAGTTTTTAAACATTCTCCCAATACTATCAATGTGTCAAATCTAAGTTTAAAGCGAATCAATTATAAATTAAGATTTAATGTTGGTTTAATATCAGAAACTTGACTTATAGTTACTAAAATTCCTCCTATAATAAATAAAATAGCCAGAAACCAAAGGAAAAAAAGAAATATAAGATTTGAAGGATAACTTAAAGTTAAATCATAAATTCTTTATGCTAATGAGTTGCTCTAATATGACCTTTTTGATTTTATTTTTGATTTTAATCCAGATATTTCATTTGATTTTGTAACTGATTATGTTTTAACTGATTTTGCAAATAAAAGATTTACTACTTATTAATTTTATTAGACTTGTTCATAATTTACTTCAAAATAATTCACTCTTTTCCATAAAAGTTATGAAGGTTCAATTAAAATAGTTTTCAAATCACTTAATTTTGACATGATTTCTTCAGCTGTTTTATGAGATACCCTTGTAATAAGCATCAAAATCTATCTCTCATATTGTGTCAATAAAAATGTATTATAAAGTATATACAATATAATACAACTATTCACAGATATAAAAGTCATTGTTAAAATTACTATATCATTTATGATTCTATCTTCATAATAAACTAAATTTTCATTAAGTAAAGTAATATATTTATAAGCAAATTTGTAAACATAAGGTACATTTAATCTAAAAAACATGCTATCAGAAAATATTACACCTTCTTAAGCATTATCAATATAACTAAATGAATGCAACTAAATTTATTAAATCAATTAAGTTAGATCAAGTTATTATTCTGAAAATGATAAGTCATTAATGCTTATTAATCTAAGTTCATCAGTCATAATTTATTCTTCAAATTATATAATTCCTTAGTACAAATCATTTAATTTTACATCCATAATTGCTCTAGTAGCTGCCAATTCTTCTAATTATTATTTTTTAATGAATTCACTATATTATATTATGTCAAGTCTTTCTTATAGACTAATCCATGCAAAAAAGGCAATTTTTTAGAAATAGAAATTTAAAGTTTCTGGATAAGTAACATAATTAATATTAGTTTATAATATGTCATAATTATCTAAATTATTCATGAAATTTACTTTAAATGATGCTAAGTTTAACAAATACTAGGCAGAATTGTAAAAGAAGATACAATAAAATTGCAAATATGACAGATTTAAGTCCTCCTCCAAATGTACTTACTTAATATAAGGATCGAACAAGTAAGGAAGGTGATTTGGAGGTACTTGTTCTTGATGAACTTGCTATTGATCTTTTTTTCTTTTCCTCTTCTTCATTATCATTTTGATTTCTAATAAAATTATTAAACTGTTAAAATACTCTTATTAAAGTTTTTTATTTTCAACTAACAATTAAATAAAATTTTTCTTATTAAAATTTTAGTTTGAAGAATGTCTTTCAAGATTATCTTCTATTTCTTATTATGATTCATCTTTATCTTTAAAATCATCACTCGATTTTTCTTTTTATAATTATTTTTCTTCTACTTTATAAGATTTTTCCTAAAATTATATTTATATATTACATCAAATTACTTATGAAGTTAAAAAAATTCATCTGAATCATTATCCTAATCTACTTGTAAAGGTATACCACTAAAATGTGGTCTATAAGGATTTTATGGTAACATAATCTCTGATGGTGGAGCTGAAACATCTTAAATTTCAATAGCACTTGGTTTATCAAACAATCTAATTTAAGAATGGTCATTTCCAAATAAGATATTACTATCATCTTATTATATTAATTATTTTATTTTTTCTTCATTAATTTTTGAAGATTTATTAATTGGTTAATTATTTGATGATTCAAAGACAGCTTTATCTGGTTAAAAACTAACTGGTTTATTATCATAAATAGATTTATCTGCACTTGATGGTACTGTTTCATTTAATGATTTATGATTTAAAGCAGAAGTAAACATAGTTGTAGAAGCCTCAAAATTTTATCCCATAGTTGGATATCTATTATAAAACTTATGTTAAGGGTTAATCTCATTCATATGTTCTAATTCAATAATGAAATATGGATAACAATATCTTTTTACTTTCATCATTTAATAAGACATTTTAATTTTTGTTCTTATTATTGTGTACTTAAAAATTTAGATATAATTTCATACCTTTTCTAATTAATCTTTATGTTAATTCATAAATTAAAAATGAAAGTTAATATTAGATTTATCAGCAATTGGAATCTTCTCTCCTAATATTGTTGTATTTCCTCTATCAAACCCTATGGAATGCTCACTGTTCATTGATTTTTATACAGATTTCCAAGATCTCCAAGAACTTAAATTTTAACTTTCCAATCCTTCTTAAAGTGTATTCCCAATTTTTTCATATGATTCTCTTACAAATAAAGAATTTAATTCAACTAAATTAGAAGGTATATAAAATAAATGTTCTTCATCATCAATAAATTAATGATCTAATTCATTAATTTTATTTATATTTTGATTCAAAATAGATAAGAATGATGGAAAAATAAGAAATAAATGACAAAATTCTTTGAAAAACTCAATATTTATATTAGGAACTTTAGCACTAATTGTTTTATAGAGTTCTTCACTAATCCCTATAATTTTACCTTCTGCATCAACCATAATAATTTAGTTAGATATATTACATTTTAGGATGGATGCTGTAATAACATAATCATCTAATTCCTCAAACAAATTCCCTAATTTTACATAACATTTTTCAATAAATCCTTTTTTGTTTTCATAATATCCAGAAATTTTACGAATAAAATATTCACTATGTCCTTTTTAAATGAAAGCATCTATTAAATATTCATGACCTTTCATCATAGTTTTTGGTAATAAATTATGGACTGAAGAAACTGATTCTTTAAAATCATTTGCATCAACATAATGAAAAAAATTAGCTAATGCTAATTAATTTTTGTTGACTATCTTTCCTTTATTCTTAACAATACTAACCAATATAATTGTAGTGGAATCATTATAAAGAGATATATTATCTATTATATCTAATTCTTTTTATCTATCATTTGATGTTAAATCCTTCACATATTGTTCGACGTATACAGACTAATTTAGATCTCAATATTACTCTGTCAAAATCATTCATTACTAAGGAATAAAACAAGGAATATAATTTTAATGTTATTACATTAATATTTAGTTGAGCATGATTTAGTTTTTTTACAGAAATACCTTTAGTTGTGGTTGATTTCATATCAAACCATTCCTAAGGTACTCCTATATATTTATCCAATGCAATCCTAAGCTAATCATATTTCCATACATTACATTCATGATTTTTTCACATAATTTTTATGTATTTTATTAAAATGGATTCAAACTAGGATATCCATTTATTAAATTTTACCAATGTTCTATTTTTTAATCTACCAAATTTATAAATGTTTATAATAAATTTTCATACAAATTTTGAGTTTACCATTATTATGTCAATGAAATTTCAATTAATTATGTTCTTTGTTCATGGACTAGAATAGCCTTTGAATTTTGTCTCACTTAATTATCTGTAATTTATTTTTTTAATTAATCTGCCAATTTATTAGTAATCTCAACAAAATACATAGAATTATTATTCAATTTATTATTTTAATATTGTCTTAATTCTAAATATCCTATTAATGGCTTTTGAGCAATTTCAGAAACAAAACTAATATACTATAATTACAACTGCTCAAATTATAAATCTGCATTTAGATTATGACTATTTTATTAATATAAAGAGTACATAGAAAACAGCCAGTTTTGGGCTGCCTTAAATATACATTTGATAATACTCAGAGTGAGTATATTAAGATCCTTTTTCTAATCAACATTTAATGTCTCAAAGCGTTTGACCTTGGAGTAGCACTTATTGTTTTTACAATACAAACGATGTATCATTAAAAACTAAAAATATTATAATTAAGCATAAGGGTCCTAAAATTAATTCCATATATCTATACTTTTAAATAATCAATATGGTATTTATAAAATTAATCTACTGCAATAATTATATGTTTTTCTTCAATCTAAATACTGGAATTGTAATTTAATATGGCATGATTTTAAAATAAAGATGATAAGGTTTCTCCAACTATTGCTAATCCTGGCAAAGGTAAGATAATAAAAAAGAATAGATTCTCTTCTGCAAGCAAATCAAATTTGAATGCAGTAACAGACATCACTATCCAAGCATATACAAATGCCAATCGAATAGATGGTATACGTAGAGGATCTCTATAAGGGAAATTAGTTAATTGATCTACAATTTAATTTATAGCAAATAAATTTGCCATAGAATATTTCAAAATATGAGCAACTTCAAACTATTATTTAAATGATATGATTTTACATCATAAATATAATGTGAAAAAATCTCTATTAGAATTACTGTGTTATTTAACAATAATAAGGAAGAATATCTTCTTTTTAAGGAATTAGGCTCATGAAATCTATGATTTCTCATTATATAAATCAATATCTATCCATTTATATAAGAAATAACTAATGGAGTAATGGCTAGTATCTGAGTGCCAATTCCTATATCACATTCTGATTTTGGGAAAATGCTTACAGAATTGCAAGTAAGGGAACTAAAGGAAATGACTGCAATTTATAGATATATTACAGGATATAGGACAAAATACCAATGAAGAGTTTCATTAAAACTCATGACCCATTATTATATTTGTGAATTCATGTTATCACTTCCTGTGATATCTCTTCTTATTAGATTAGAAGTCCATATTCTAATGAATGTGGAAAACATCAAAAATAAAATAAGTATCAATTGAGAGGCAAATGAGATTACAATAATAACAAATGCCAGATTTGATGTCATAGAAGATTTCAATGTGTTATTTAAAATGAAAAATTCTAAAAAGCTTTGTGAATAGGCTAATTTAAAGTCACTATAATGTTTATTCTAATTTGCATTTACTATGATAGATAAATATTGAAAATGATTGATTAAATGCAAAATAAAGTAAAATGAGCCATCCATCTAATTTGATATATTCTTTAATATACTTTAAATTTAGGTCTTTCTTCAACTCCATATAGCATTGTTTACATATATCCTCTTGTAAATTTTCGAAAAGTATGCATAATGTTCTACTGATATAAATTATAAAATATTAAATATTAATATAAATTACTTTAGTCTTTATTCTCAATCATGAGAAACATATAAATAACTAATAACAACATTTCTTTTAATCAAATTGAGTATTTTAATACAAAAAAAAGTACTATCATAGAAAAAATAATGAATGATTTAAATTTAATTAATATATAAACCACAAAAAATAATTATGAATAATGAATGAATTTAAAAAATAACAAAAAGAAGACAATTTAAAATTGCCTAATATTTTTTATTTATTTTATTAAACTCATCTTCTACGTAGATGACTCATTGTCATTTTCTCTATTTTGGTTGGTTCGTGCAACAAGATGGAAAAATCTAAACTGTAGATCAGAGTGCCATTCACTCTTAATAGAAAAGTACTCCATACATGGGCCAAAGTTCATCTCATAATTCTCATCGTATACATGATACTTCTCTAAACTCATTGAAATAAGTTCGCTTTCAGTACTATTTGCCTCAAAACCTCTCAATCCTTAACTTAGAATATTGTCTTAAGATGCTGTTAAGAAAGTATCAGGAACAACTTATTTATAATCAATTCTTCTTATTCCAGTAGTGCTTTATTCCTTTTAAGAATCAATAATATAATTACTTCAAAGTAATTGAAACCTCTTGAATCTATACCTCCTTATTTGGTTATGGCTTTTGATCCTGTTCCAACAAGAATCAAAGCAACTTTAACATATCTTACATGAGTATTATCTTTAGTTTTAAGATTTAAATTAAGATTTTGCATTTCTGAATCCAAAACACAATTTATTTATAATGCATATGGTCCGTTTTCTGGATTAATTTTGAATCCCACAAGAAAAGCACTAACTTTAGGAGATTATATGTTAGCATTAACAGGATGAGTAAATGTATCTTCTCTTACACCAAAACCTTGTTATTAATTTAGTATTATAATACCTTGACGAAGTTCCCTTAATTACATGAAATTGAATTCACGATAGATAAGTTATACATTTTTATCTACAAATGCCACCCATCTAACTTTAAGTTATTAGACTCTTGCAGGTCCTCCTAAACGATATCTTAATTCAAAACCTAAAAATGGAGAGCTTAAATATTCTACCAGATTTGGTCACTTGTCCCAATGAAAGATTTATATCAACATCCAACATTGATTCGAAAGTTACTTATTCAAACATGAGCAATACTTCAGGCACTCTTTTAAGAGAGATACATACTCTGAGAATTGCTTATCAAATATGATTTCAATTATTGTATGAATTGGATAATTACTAGTGAGTGTTAATTAAGGTTAGTTTTTGATCACATAATCTAAACCTGTTTACCATTCAGCTCCCAAAGTAATAACTATGAAGAGTACAAAATGAAATGTTTTAGACATAATATATTAATAAAAATGTAATTAATTGATGCCATTTTTGATGATCAATTCAGGCCTGCTCTTATTGATCATTATCAACAAAACAAAATAGTCAGAAGACCTGATTATCTTTTAAAGGCATTATAATCTGTAGATTAAATACCTTTAGAAGAATAATAACAATTTTATGATCATTTAGAGAAATAATTATTACAATGTACTTCATTGTAAGCATTAGCATTAATTCATAATTAAAATGAATAGATTATAGATTAGCTATTAGAATTGTGTTTGACAAATGAAAATGTATTAATATTACTTAATATTTCAGCATACATAATAATTATTTAGGATTATCAATTGGTTTTTGAAAGCAATAACACTTACAAAGCGTAATTACAAAAGTATGTTTATGTATATCAAAAATTAAATGTACAATTCTTAATTAACAAATGAAAAAGTTTAGAGATTCATATCTATATTATAAGTAAAATTTGATTCTCATCTTATAGAAAGTTTTTGCAGAATATCATTATGATTCTCCATATGCATCATTCTACTTCAATTATATTAATAGTGGATTAGTGGTAGACACAAGAGAAATGAAATGGTTATTTAGTAAAGGCATTTCTATATAAACCTGGCTTTATCCAATAGAAATAAAATCAGAAGTTGAAACTAAAATTATGTACTTAATGTCTGATAAAAAAAAAGGATGTTAATTTATTTTAAATGGAAATAAATTAGTTTATCAATATGTGGATTTGAATTGTATTTTTTATTACTCATTATAATACAGCTCCTCATCATGAAGCACCTATAAGTTTGATCGAAATTCCTTATCATGAATGGTCTTCTTTATGTATCCAGATTCAATTAAGAAAGTTCTTTTTGTAGGAATCCTATTACTTATATTTGACTTGTGGTAGTCAATAACTTAGAGAAATCAAAATAGATTTTCCACAAATCTCTAATGATTCTCTTGTCATAGAATTTCAATTCTTTACCAATTTTTATGGTTATGTTACTTGTATGTTAATTTATAATGATGGATTTGATGGAAAGTATTAACTACTATTATGAATATAGTGATCTAACTTGTGGTGACAAAGACTTAGGTATTTAATCCAATGATCACTTAAGAAATTTACATAAATATCATGGAAATAATAAATTAGTTTTATGTTATACTCCACTTAGAGCCAGAGCAAATTTTATTACTGATCCAATTAATAAATTTGATGGAGCCTTATAATCATATAGTGGATCATATTTAAGGATAACTTAAAAATAATAATTTTCATAATTTTGTAGAATTGAAAATTTTGTGCCTTTATTATTATTTATAAGAATTTAACCTTATGATTCATTATTGAATGAATTATTGACTTTATTTTGTTAAATTATTAAATCAAAACCAGAAACATAGTAAGATGCAATTCGAACAGAATATTTAAGTTTGATAGCCCTTAAACTAAATGATTCTGGACTTGATATGATCAATAATTAAACAATTGAATTATTATCACAATTAAATAATTCAATTCAAGATACAAAATTAAAATAGTAATTCATTTGTAATCTATTATGGAGAATATAAATTTATAAACTAGATAATTTTACAATCATTTAAGATTACTTAAAATTTATTCGTATGATTTATAATGGTAATCCTGAATTTTGTATATCTATTTTCGGTATTAGTAAAATACTTGAAATATTGATTTATGATATAGATCCTAAAAATAGATTATGTTGTGAAGAACATGCTAATCAAATGGGTTATACAAATTTTTAATTACCTACAATATCATATGCTTAATTAATAGATTCCTATTTAAGTATTACATTCATTTATATATAATAGATATAATTGATGCAATTCTCTAAAATAAATTATTTCAATCACAATCTAAAATTGAAAAATCCAATATTATAGATATTGCAAGAGTTTTCACTCTTAAATGCTCTCCTTGTTTTTATTAATTGTTACTTAAAAAACTATAAGGATTATTTTAATATGAGAACAAGAATAATAATCCAATATCATAGATATTAATATAAGAAGAAGTAATGTAAATGTTATTGAATTTATTAACAACATGTTCTTGTCCAGATGTTAAAACTAGTTGTATTAAATTAATAGCAGAGAGTATTCGTATTAATTAATCTTCAAATGAAAAAGAAATAGCTAATTGGATAGCTCATACTCTAGGTAATAGTGCTGCTGTTGAAGTATTAGAAACATATTCTGATGATGAAGATGAGGATTATTAACCTCGAAAACCATTAATAAATTAAGCTTTAGTTTTTCATTAATAAGAAGAATAATAAAATTCTATTGAAGAAAAAAAGAAATAGCCAGTCATTTAAAAAAAAAAGATTGTTTAACCAAATAGAAGAATTATTGATTATGAACCTCTTTATGTTGCAATTATGGAATGGATGCTTAAAACTAGAGTTGGAAAAACTAATTCAGATACACTTATTTTAGATGAAAATTTAATTATAAAATCTGATGGTGGATTATCTTTGTTGATTAGTTATTTCTAATATTGTGTAGATCCTGTTAAAGGTCGTATTATGTAAGATTTATGTATGTTAATTAAATGGAATCAAGCTAGTGCTATATTTTTATTAAATAATGAAGAATTTCATTGGTGGATTTTAGAGACTCTCTTAGAAATTTAACATTAATATAATAATAGAGAATTGGCATAATTTGAATTTTGGGTTTGGGATAGTGGATTAAAATTATATTGTAATGTTATTAAAGCAGGTATTTAAAATGAAAAAAATGGATTTTAAAGATTAGCTTAATTATAGAGTTATTGTAGAGTATTAGAAGAACTTAATGGAGAATAGATAGATTAATAGTCAACATAATTATTAATCAGATTAATATACAAACAATTATTATCTAATTTATCGTAATTATAATTTAATAAATAAATTAGAGATTGTTATAAATTGGATTTATTTTCAACTTTTTGGGTTAATTTATATTCTGTAATATTTGAAACATTCAGATTAGTCACTGCTGATCCAAGAACTATGGAGAATGAACATTATTATTTATTCCATAAATTCTAACCTATTTCCTTTAGATTAACAATATCATAATAAGAAATGCCAAAAAGTAAATATAATAATATATTAAGAATGGAAATAATAATTTGGAATTATATAATGGGTTGATCACATACTTATTGTTAATATTTGTGATATTGTAAATTAATTTTGTGGCAAATTTTCTACATAAATAATTAGTTATTTGGATGATTATCAAATTGTATAAAAAGGAATTTTAGGTATTTTGGAGTAGAAGAATCCAACAGAATCATAGAAATCATTTGCTGCCATGATGTTCGAATTCGATATTGGATTAGAATAGAATTAATCACCCATATTTATATAAGTTTGCTAACTCTTTCTTTAATTGAATGCAGAATATTTTGCATTTAATGTATAGAGTAGTGAAAACATTAAATAATTATAAGTGATATTGAATGCATTGGATAAATTAATTAGAACTCTAATTATAGCATCAGAGACTTTAAAAGATAAAGAGATTGAAGAAACATAAGATAAAGTAGTATATTCAATTATTGGATCACATTTTATATTTCTTTATTAAATGGAAGATAAAATAAAAGAGATTAATTATGATAAGGAAATAAAATAGGAATTACTATAAATTGTGAAGAATTGTTTATTCTATTCATTTAAATTTTTAATTGTTTATGTTGATTGTTTTACTCAAATCTTAAATAAGAATGAGTCTTTTTAAACTCTAATATTTGAAGGATACAAGCAATATAAATTATTTTTAATGAAAATGCTTAATGATTTAATTAGAAAAGATAGTTCACATATATTTGAAGTTAATGAAACAAAATCATTAAAATTAAATAATAAATTAATAATGGAAAAAATGATATCAGCAAAATAAGTATTTGTTGAAAATCAAACTTTATTATAAAAAATAAAAGAATCATTCTTTATGAATGAAGAGTATTATTTAAAAACTAAGTGTGATTTTGAAGAATCTTATAGAATCTTTGCTTAAAAGAAGAAATCCTTATAAGATAAATTATAATAATAACGTTAAAGTATTGAAGAAGTCTTGTTTTCATAGATGTAATTTATTAATGTATATATAGGATATCATCATCTTCAACATACTCATATGATTAAAAAATACAAAGAATAGACTCTGAATAGATTTATATGAGATAAGCTAGATATATGTTTAAAAAGTCATTTAATAGAGTCCGTGTATTTAATTAATGGTGGGCACATCCAGATTTTAAAGCATAAATTGATAAACCATTTAATTCTACTGATATGCATTATGAAAATATTACATAAAATTAGATGTAAAGAAATAATTATAAATTAGATTTACATGGAAAATGTGGAAATATGAAACTAAATAAAAATCAAGACCTTTACTCAAACCTAAATTATATGATTATCCTTAAATTGATAACATTATGCAATCTCAATAATAAAGCACAAGAATAATGAATTTGGCTGATTATGATAAGAAATAACCAGAAAGACAAAGAAAAAGAATACATGAAATTATATTTGATACAATCATACCATTTTATTCATAATAACATGAATAAGATGAAGTGATTCTTCATAGAGTCTAATGGATTAAGACATTAACAGTTAGAATAGGTTCTTTACGTATAAGTGATACTCATTTAATATTTTATTTTGAATCAATTACTTAAAAAGAAACACATTAAAGTTTGATTAAATTTAGAGTACCTGAAGACTCATAATTAGTAAAATAATGGGATTTGGAATAAATTTATGATATCTAATTTAGAAGATATATTGGTAGATGGACATCTTTGGAATTGACATTATTAGAAGGTAGTACACTTGTATTCAATTTTTAAAATGGAGATCATCAAAAAGTCATTGAGAAATTGATATCTTTGAAGAAACATCGAACTATTAATCTTAAACCTAGAATTTTATCTGGTAAATTAGATCCTGTGAGTGTTATGTTAGAAAGTAAGGCTATGAATAAATGGTATAATTATAAGATTACAACATTTGAATATTTAATGAAAGTAAATAAAATTTCTGGAAGAAGTAATAAAGATTTAACCTAATATCCTGTATTTCCATGGATAATGAATGATGGTGAATAATTACATAAATATCGTGATTTAACTAAAAGTATGGGTGCTTTAGGTACTAAAGATAGGATTGAAGTTTTTGAATAAAGATATAATATGATAGATCATTTTAATAAGGTTCCATAATTTCATTATGGGAGTCATTATTCAAGTCCAGCAATTATATTCCATTATCTTATTAGAATGAAACCATTTTCTGATGGTGCTAAAGAATTGCAATCAGGTAAATTTGATTTAGCAGATCGTCTATTTTTTTCTTTTATAGAAACATATAGAAATGCTGTTGAAGAATTAAGTGATGTAAGAGAATTGATACCTGAATTCTTTTATTTACCTGAAATGTTTCTTAATTTATCAAAGTATGATTATGGATTATAATAAACTGGATAAAGAGTAAATAATGTAGAATTACCTTTTTGGACATAATAAAATCCATATTTATTTATTTGTGCTCATAGAATGGAATTGGAAAGTGATTATGTATCATAACATATTTGTAATTGGATTGATTTAATTTTTGGATATAAATAAAAAGGAGAAGAAGCAGTAAAAGCTTTAAATACATTTTATTATTTGACATATGAAAATTCAATAGATTGGGATTCAATTAAAAATGAAAAATAAAAAATATCATTAGAATCATAAGCAATACATTTTGGTTAATGTCCAAGTTAAATTTGGGATAGACCTCATATTTCTAGAGGAAAATAAAAAATTATTTTTAGGATTGTTGATGAAAAGATAGAAAAGAGAATTTTTAGATAAAAATAAAATAATCCATAGACTTAATCACCAAATTATTAGAGAAATAAATCAATTATTAGAATACATTTTTTAAGTGATAATAAAGTTTGGATTATTCGTAGAAATGGAGAATGTGCTACAATTAAATTAGATTTAAAAGACAATAAATTTGATTTAAATAATTAGAAAGAATAATCTATTAATTTTGGTAAATTTTTGGATGAAAATTAATATTTATTTGATTGGACTTGTAATTATGATGAATTACCAGTTTTAAATAGAGGAAAATAAGTATTAGTTGGAGGTATTTGGGATGGAAGATTATTGATATATAATAATGGTATTATATCTGAATAGAGATTTGAATAAGAACACACTATAACTGTAATGAGATTTGATTATAAAATGAGAATATTAGCAACTGGTAGTAAAGATGGCACTCTTATTATTTATAAAGTGTTTAATAATTAATATATTCCAATTACTAAACATCATCATCATGATTAATCAATTACAGATATATTTATATGTAATGATTTAAAAGTTGTATTAACTTGTTCTAGTGATAGTTGGATTCACATGTATAATTAATGGTCAGGCAAATATTTAAGAAGTTATAGACATCCTAAAGGTTTACCTATTAGTAAAGTTTGTAGTTATTGTACTCCATTATATGGAATAGCATTTTATGAAAACAAAAATATATATTCTTATAGTATTAATGGATAATTCTTAGCCCATCTTGAATTAAAATAATATGTTGTAAATTAAGGACATCTTAAAGTTGTTAAAGATTCAAAATTAACTGATATTATTGTATTTATTATTATATATTTTATCAGGTGTTACCATTATGTTTGGAAAAGAAAATATTAATGTTAACAACTCCTTTTTTATAGAAAAGAAATGAAATATAATTGACTGATTGTTAACAATCAATGAATGATATAAGTTCTTTTGCTTTGTCACCAGACAGAACAATATTAGCATTTGGAACATCTGATGGAGAGTTTGGTTTGGCAGTTGACTAGAAAATCTTTTAATAAGATTGAGATTTATCTGTATATCAATATAATAAATTGTTATTATCATTCTACATTTAAATTAAATTATATAAAATAAATTAATTAAAATATAATTAGTTTATATAAAAATAAGATATATAATAATTATTATTATTGATTATAAAGACTTATTAATTTTGTATATTATATGAACAAATTGTCAAATTATACGCAGATCACCTGATTTACAACCATAAATAGAAATTTGTTTTGTTGCCTAAACGAACCTTGTACAAGTTTAGGATGACACAACAGATAATCTATCTAAAAATGGTAATCTATATTCAAAAACATTATTGTCAGTTATTACAATCTATTAAAATATAATAATAAATTCTATACTAAAGTATTTATAGATGATTTCTTAATTTAAATGTATTCAATATTTCCTTTGACTTATAAAAATTGTAACAAAAATCCATTTATAGAATATGCTACAACTCGTTCATCATGAGAACTAAATAAAATACATGGTAATGGTGAATAACTTAATGTTAGATAATATATAGGCAGTCTTTTTGGATGATTAATAAATCTATAGAGAGTACGATTATACAAATTATATAAGAATATTGTTCCATCTTGAGTTCCAACACAAAAGATAGTTAGCTATTCTGAAATTGTTATTGAATTTATTTAAGATGTTGTATCATAAATAACATTTTTACCTTTTAGTACTTCCTCTTATTTTATATCCTACTTATTTTAAAGTACTTTATTATAATAATAAACTAAACCCTTATTAGTTCCTAATATTACTATATTTTATTTTTTATTTGATTCTAAAACAGTTATAGTACAATAATTATTGATTATTTCACTTTCCAATTCAACCACTCCCTACAACTTTAAATTATCTAAACAATAATATGTGAGTGTTCCATTATTATTACCACCAAACAATATGATTGATTATTCAATTAATACTAATATTGGTGGTAATACATATTTAATCATAGCATCAAAATTTACTTTAGGTAATTAAACTTATTTATCAATTTAAAATTATTATTAATTTTTAACTATCTACCATTAGATTAATGTAAAATCTTCTTAAATACTTATAACTTTATTTTTATTACAAATTAAATAGATTAATTTATTTTATGATTTTTTATTCTTTACTATTTACCATTAAGTTTTATCAAATTCATTATTTTTTTGAGGATGTGGTTTATAAAATATTTATTCTGGTGTTTATCCAAAATGGGCAATTTAAGTTTCCATTGCTAATTCATTGATTTCTATACTTCCTTCATCAAAATTTGAGTATGTTAATGGATAAAATACATTAAATGAATCTATGGCAGCATTTCCTTATTATTTATATCCCCAAATTAAATCAATCCATTCATTTAATTTAATAGCATATTCACTTTCTAATGCTATCATATTTTAAGCTACATAATAAAATGGATTCTTATTAGAATAAAATGGTAATTGTACATTATTTACTACTTAACTACTTTACAATTTACCTAGATTATATCCATTAATATTTAAAAATGCTTCAGGTAAATAAAAAAATTCAGGTGTTAATTCTCTTACATCAGCCATCTCATTATTACAATCTATCCATGATTTCATTATTGATCTAAATAATCGATCTGGAATATCAAATTTACCATCTTAAATTGATATTGCTGCTTCTGTAAATGGACTTAATCTTACTAAATATTAAGATACTAATGCTTAACTTGAATAATGTGTTCCATAATAAAATTATTCATTTTCATATCTTTTAATAAATTAATCTAATCTTGATTCACTTCCACATGCTCCTATTGGTAAAGATAGATCTCTATAATTAATCTCATTTTATATTGATGCAATATCATTATCATCAAAATCAGATGCATTTCCTTTTAAAACCCATGGAAATACTGGATATCTTGTCAAATCAATATATGATCGACAAGATAAAAAATTCAAATACATTAAATACTTGAAATTACTAACTTTATTAAAATCACATTATTTTGGTTATATTTTCAATTTCTCAATTATCTCTTCCTTTAATCCCTCATCCTAAAATATTAAATACAAAGATTCTCCATCTTTAAACACAATTTCAATTGCATTTCTATTTCTAATATATATTCTTTCATAAAGCCACCTAATTTAATTTCTCTTCCATGATTTCTTAAATGGTTTATGATTTGGTATTGTATGAGGTAATAAAGTAATATGATTTGCTTATTGAGTATATGAGTAATAGGAGAATGTTATTTTATCATCACCTATTGTAACTCCACCTTATTTTAAGTATAAACTCTTTAACCAAAAGCATTTGTATTATTATTTCTTCTCCAAAGGCACTTATATATCATTCTCAAACTCAGTATTCTTTTTAAATTTAATTTTTAAGATTGGACGTGAATAATATTTATTTATGTATTTCTCAATTTTATTGATGTAATAAGGATTTTCATTGAATTTATAATCATGATCAATATATTCATCTACTTAAAATTTACAATTTGTTGGTCTATATAAAGTAATACGTAAATTATGCCAAAGTTTACACCATCTTTATCTAATCTTTCTAGTTTTATTCATTAATTTGTACACAGATACTTACATTGATGCTGCAGCCTAATTAATATCATCTGTTAATTTAGATAATTATTCTGATTATGTCATTTTAATCTATTATTATTCTAATGTCCATTTTAATAATAAAGATTCTTAAAAAGTTTAAAAATCTTATTAAAATACAATTGAATCAAATATTTACACTTATTATTCTGTAAGTGATTATAGTATTAATACATTTTAAGTAAAGAAATATTCAATTACTTCTTTTATTTATTAATCTTAATTTTATGATTGAATTGCTTTAAGTAAATCAATAATTTAATTCATGAAGTTTTCACTTGCTTCTGTATTTAAATATTAAATTTATTCAAAAAGCTTAGTAAAATAGAATAACCATTCTTTTAATTTATCAATAGGACAACTTAAGTTGATAATTTTTTGGATGGCAAACGGTAATTCTTTTTATTCAACTATTTTGGATAATTCTTGCTCATTTTCTAAATATATTATATACTTAATTAATTTTGTTAAAAATGTTTCAAAATTTTTAAATGATTAAACTGAGAAATAAATTTAGAACATTATCTATTAAACTTAATATATTTATTCTTCATTAAATTATTCAATCACTTCTGTAATAATTGTCATTAGTATTTATACATCTTATCTAATTTGATAATGAATTAAAGTTTAACATATATATTGAGGATTCTAATTTAAAAGATACATAAATATCTAAAGAAGTCTTTCATTTTATTCTAATTTCAATTAATCCAAAAACCATATAGAATATTATTAAAGTATAATTTATTATTATTCATTACTAATTTTTTTCACATAATTAAAATAATATTCTATAATATTTTATTATTTAGTTTAAGAGTATAAATGTTACAGAATTTCAACACATAAACAATTTATCTTTAATAATTAAGTTAATGCATTTAATAGATTATCAAAATTATTATTTATACAAATTGCTTTAGAAATATAAGAGATCATTCCCTAACTTAATAGATCTTTAGTTCCATAGAGCAATTATCCTAATAATGTAATAGTTGCTACTAAACAATCCATACTATCAGTTTATAATAATAGAAATATGTCATTTAGTATCTTATTTTAAATGTTATGATTTCTAAATATAATGAAATTTTCTTAATCATCTCTAAATAAATCAGATACTAATCTTGTTGCACTTTATATAGCTTTAATTTTGAGTTCAATTGATGAGGCTTCAGCTACTTTTAAAAATAATTTGAATTAATCTTTTAATGTATTAAAGTGATATTAACATGAATAAATCATAATTTATAAAATTTAATCTTAAATTTAGCTTTTCTAATTGACACTCACTAATAATTAAGCTAGATATTAGATTGAAGTAACTTTTAAGTATTTCTGATGATCATTAATATAAAATTACTGTAATAAAATACAGTATTATTATTAATCAGTAACTCTTTTAATAAAATTGATATCAATAATTAATAATAATAATTGATTTAGAATATCTTAATCTTCCACTTTTTATTTGATATATAAAATTTAAGTGAGATTGTTAATGTCTACTTTTATTATTTATGCTATTTATTGAAATAATTTCATTTCAACTATTTAATTTTTATTGATTTAACTATCCTATAATAATGTATAAAGTAAGATTTGAAATAAATCATCTATTTAAGAATGATCATAATATTGAATTAGATCGAAAAGTGGAATCAATATTTTAATACCACCATATTCTACAAAATCATATTTTTATAATGAAGATGTCATTTTTGTATCTCCTTAAAGTTCATAAACTACATTTTAAATTCTATCATTCACTCTTTTTTTTTAATGAGGATCATATAATGGATATATTTGATAAAAAGGAGATTTCAAATGTAGATCTACAACTTCATTATAAACAGATATCTCTTTGACTTTGCATTCTATATTCTAAAAGTAAACAATCTCAAGATTTTGATTCCTAATTTTTGGATACTCAATCTATATAGTATTTTTTATCTGATTAATTGAATATATAAACTTTGGTCTGGAATATAGTTTTCCACATTCATGTGAAATAATTAGTTCATTCCATCCATTCATTATGACTTCTCCCAACTTATTATTAGAAGAGTAATCTTCTACAATAACTTTTTCTAGAGTAAACCTTTAATATATATTCTTATAAAAGACTACACCAGCCATTATATAACAATGAACTCCATTAGCTATAATTCTTTTGCCATCAATATGTGAGGATGAAAATTAGAATAATGTTCCATCTCCTTAAGGATTAAATGTTAAGGAGATAGAATATTACTTTTCAAAATGCCATTAAGATTGATTGATAAGTTTTATTCCTCCATTGTTGATGACGAATTGATCTTCATTCTTCTCTTACTTCAGATACTCATACAAACCCTTAATGCATTCAGACATTGTTTATGGGTTGTATGTACTATTCGCATATTCATTAGATAATTCATGAAAGTACTTTAACATGAGTATATATTAATCATAGAAATTGTTAAATAGTCTTCCGAATTGATCTTTTTTTCATTACATTCTCAGCATCCTTCTAACTAATCTTTGCTAATAAATCAACTCTAGTCAAATTGGCTACATCATCTAGATTTCCATCATGTGACACTTATACTGACTGTAATCTATCCTTCATTTTTACTTCTTCATTCTTTTTCTTCGTGATATTACTCTCTTCCTCATCTAATTAATCTAAATCTCTTATTGGAATCATTGGAGCCTCTTGATTTCTAATATTATTCCAATCAATTCCATTAAAAAATTTATGACATTTAACTTCTTCAGCACCTTTATGTCCAAATCTTTTATGGAATTATGGTTCCAATAATGAATTAATTAAATCATATGCTTCCTAACTCATCATATCTTCTCCATTACCTATCTCTGGCCATTCAATTGTTCTATTCATTATATTCTCAAACACTTTTGGAATACTAGAATCATTAAATGGAGGAATGCCTACTAAAAATTCATATGCTATCACTCCAAAAGCCCACCAATCTATTGAAAAATTTGATATAGATAATCCACATATAACTTCAGGTGGAATATAATCAGGAGTTCCAATAATTCTATTTTATCTTTTTCCTGATTAAGTTCTTTCTTAAATACTAGTCTTACTAGTACTCTTTTATATATGAAATTCAATATTGCTTTTAGTTTTAATGTTTCTTTTTGAAACATTCATTGGTAATGCTTCAGGATCAATTGAACAATTTATTCCATCCTTTCCTTCCCTTATCTTTTATACTAAAGCAATTTCTGATAATCCAAAATCAGCTAATTTTAGATGACCCTATGCATCTAATAATATATTTTATGGTTTCAAATCTCTATGAATTATTCCTTTTTTATGTAATGATTCAATTGCTAATAACAATTCAGCTAAATAAAATTTTGCCACTGATTCTGAAATACGACCATATTAATATAGAACTTAACTAAAATCACCCCCCATCATATATTCTAACAAGAACAATAAACAATTGTCTTAAATAAATGAATAAAATGCTTTTACTACAAAATCACCTTCTAAAATTTCAAATACATTTTTTTCTGCTCTTAAATTCTATATTTCATTCATATTCTTATTTCTACAATCTATAACCTTCATTGCATAATAATCTTTAGTCTTCTTCTTACAAACCAACCATACTGCTCCAAATGCTCCAACACCCAATACTTGAATAAATTCAAAGTCTTAAAGAGTTACATTTAATCTAAAATAAATAATAATTAATATATTTTACAATTATTTATTTTTAACTAATTTAGTTGTTTTGAAATCTCCATCACTATAATATCCTTTAACTTTCTATTCTTTCTCATTATCAAAATCACATTTATTCATTTCATTTTATTAATTTAAATCCTTAAATGAAATCATATTACTTTTTGATTATTATACTTAATCTTCCATTTCAAAAGATTCTTCTAATGATTTTTTAGTCATATTTTTTTTGACTTCTTTAGATACTGCATCATCAGAATCTGATTAATTGCTACTTTATCCTCCATCCTCAGATTCACTTAAACATTTTTAAAAGATACAATCTTTTCCTACACCTTCAGTAAAAGTTTTCGATTACACCTATTTGTTGTTATCAAAATTTGATATGACATTTTATTTATTTAACCATTTAGAACCATTACCACTATTTTTTAACATTTCAAAATGTTCTTATAATGAATTTCCTAAAGAAGTTCTACGATTCCCTATTTCAACATTATTGATATTTTTTAGACGAAGTGGAGATGTAAGATTATCTAGTTTCTCTTCATCAGAAATCAATTTTTGTAATCTCGATATTTTTTATGTACATTAAACCTTTTCCTAAAATAATATAATATTTCAATTCTACTTCAATTAGTTTCAAAGTCATTTTTACAAGATCTTAAACTTCTTTTTAGAGTGTATATTTAATATTGAATAACTCAACTTGTATTTTAAGATCAAATTAAATTGATTAAGTACCATGATGTGTTTTTAGAGTTTCTTCAGTATATTTAGTAATTATAGAGAGTGAGTTTAACTGTTATCTCAAATCTTTTAAAATTTCTGTATTATCACTAAATTATATTGATAATAATTTACTCAAGAGAGAATGGACTTCCCATACCATTTGATATTGGGGAACTTATTTATTTAATTTCTGGAGAAGGAGAATATACTAACTTATTACCTTGTTTCTATTATTCTATTTTCTTTGATAACTTAATCTATTGTTTCATTATTTGATCGAAATCCTCTCCTGTAATATTTTATTAAACAATCTAAATTACAGATTCTTACTCTGTCTATTCTTCAGATACCTCTTTATTTGCTAAGTTTGCTCCTAAATTTGCAAACCTTGATTTGACTGTACACTAAAATTATACAAAAGTTTGTACTAACCTTGTTTGTTCTTGAACCCGTTTCTTCACTTGTACAATCTTCTGGTTAATTCAATTTTAATGGAGCACTACTCCTCATTCCTCTATTATCTTGATTTGTATATCTAGCTTATTTGGACTTATGAATTTGATATTTTGTATTAATTGTACGAAAGCTATTCTATGCCAACTCAGCTAACTTTTGTATTTACACATCTAATTAATGCAATTACTTTCTAGCCTCAAAGATTTGTTAACAATTAACTAAATGATTCTCAATCAAAGAAGCATCTGTCTATAATTGTAATAACATACTCATACTTATTTTTCACAGATTCTACACATTACTAATAGATCTTCATTATTCTAAACTTCAGCAATCATAAATATATAAATTTATTATAAACTCAATGATTCTTCATTATCAATTTAATCATTTTAATTGACTTACATTTAGTCTTTAAACAAATGTCTGTTGTCATATTTAATTTAATGTAAATTATACTACTTTAATATTTTATTGTTACTTATGATTAATTTTAGATCATACTTATATTACATTCTCCAACAAACTAATATTAATTATTTACTATAATATTATTTAATTTCGAAAGAATTCATTTTAGAATAATAATTTTCTATTTTCTAATGTATATAATTATTATTGTCACTTTTCTAAATTTAATATTCAGTTGTTAATATATAAAGAATAAATTTGTAAATTATAGATATTTATCAATATTTACATCAAAAATTTAATTCAATTACATTTTAAGAAAGCCTAAGAAAAAAAGATGTTTTTTAAAATTATTTGTATATTTTATTATTATATTGGATAAAACATTAATGAAAGCCTTTATAATTATAATCTATTGTAGAATAAATATGTTTACAGATAAAAAATAGTTTTTACTTAAATAGTGACTTTAATCAATTTCTTTTTGAATATTTTTTCTATTTTTGTATATTTTATGAAATTATTTTAGAACATGTTTTTTATTAAAGTTATACTGAAAGTCTCTTTCATGGAAATATGATACTCAATAGATTATTTATACACATTTATTCAATGGACAATAAGGTTTTAGATATTACAATTATTTAAGCTAGTTACATCCTTTAATTGTTAAGTTTTATTTAAATAAAATAGCCTATGTATTAGATTCTTTTCAAAAGATTATGAATATATATTTCTTAAGGAATGCTTAGACTATTATATTCTTATATCTAAAAGGTTTATTATATTAGATCATTTGTTTATCAAAATATCTCAATATAGTTGAATTTTATGTATATATAAATTGATAAACGATTATTTCTATTAAATTATATATCTTCTAATTAAATCATTTCAATAACATATATAACGACACTTTTGAATTGCAAATGGATTAAAATTTTTAATAATTTGAAATTAGTATATGAATTTTCTGCGAGTTTTTATCATGATAATTTCATATAATTTTATCATATTTATTTTAAATATATTATATAAATTCTTAAAATCATTAATTTCTTCAAATTATAATTCAAAATTGTGTAGGCAAACGCATTGACAATCTAATTTTATAAATAACTTATACCTAATAGGGGCAGTTCGCTTTCTAAGTCTAGATGTTAGTATCTAGCCTTCAGTATTTGGAATTTGAGATTCCGATTTAGTTTGTACATTAGTCTACAATAAGGAAAGTCGATTTTCAAAAAGTAGTTTAGTTCTTTGTGTGTTGTTCTCATCAAATTCCTAAATTAATTTAGGAGAAATCATAATATATGGTTTTTTCATTATTGATGTTGACTTTTATAAAGGTTGAATACTTGGTTAATTGTTGTGTTTTCTTTATGGATTATAAATGATATTACCTTGAAATCGGTATAGTATTAAGAATAAAGGAAGTACTTGAGGTAGTAGTTTTGTTGCTTGAAATCGACTTTGAAGATTTCATTAAATTAATAAATAAACAATTTAAACCTGAAATTAAAACAGGTAAACTCCTTATTATTGTTAGATTTATTTTTATTACTATTTCATATTGAAATTTAACAAATATGTATTAGATTAAATTATTCATCAAATATTTTAGCAAAGTATTATATTGTGAATAATCTAGATTTATTTATTTAAATACTGTATTAAGCTTTAAGTAATAAAGATTCAAATAAGAATTAATGAGAGATTAATTAGAGATTTTTAAAGGATTTAATAAAGTTTATTATATTTTAAAACATAATAATTTAAGAGAAATAATATGATAATTATTAGAATATAATAAAAAATGAAAGAAATAGAAATTAAAATAAATAAGAAAAAATAAAATTTATTTGAATATATTTATATATTTTATTGAATAATCAATCTTTTGCTGCTCTGTAAATTTTATTTGCTGCATCTTCTAGTAAACCTAATAATGATTCTTGAGATTCTTCTCTAAGTTTCTTCTCTTCTTCAATTTCACTCTTTACTCTTGATACTAGATCTTTGAGCATCTCAAATATAGCTGTTTCTGATTCTTCTCTAAGAATATGCTATAATCTAATAAATACCTCAATTTCTTTTAATTTCCTAAACCTTCATTAAGACGACGTATTTCATCTCCTGCTCTTCTCAAAGTTCCATTGTCATTATCTTCTCTATCTTATCCTTCTGTTTTCACCATTTCATATAATTTTGGTAGATCATTCTCTAAAGATGTAGTAATATTCTCTATCTATTCTTATCTAATCTTGCCTTCAGTTTAGATATCAGATTTCAAGTAAACAACCTAATAAATTATTATTATTTATTCAATACCTTCTCATCCAAATATCCTTGTAATTTTAGATTACCATCTCTTCTTAATGCAATTTCCTATTCCAATTTAGTTGTGATACGACTTTCAAATGCTGCTATTTCTCTTACTCTTTGTTCAAATTGAGTTTCAAATGCATTATTTTCTTCCTCAATTTATTTTTACAAACGAACTATTTCATCTTTTAATGAATGCTAAAAGGATTTATATATCATAAAATTACAAGTTTTCTATTGTAAGATGTGATTGTGTCTTGAGTTCTTTCTTCAATTGCTGTAATTCTTCCACATATTGTATCAATTCTATGAGCCTTAGATTAATCATGTTATAATGGAATAGAATTTAATTTCTCTTGAATTTTATGGAAGCGTTCATTGAAGGGTGTATTTGGATTCATTTTAATAACAAATTTATTTAAAAAATAATATTTAATCAAATATGGCTCAAATAGAGGAAGAACATAAGTTAATATAATTAGAAATCAAATATACTACAGAAATTCACAAAAATGTACCTATTGATCTTAATGGAACTGTACTCAAATTTTAAGAGACACTTCAAGAACTTCTCAAAGTTCCTATTCAAAAATAAAAGATTATGATCAAAGGATCTCTCTTGAAATAAGACTAAGATCTATCTAAGTTGAATCTTAAAAATGTATATAGAATTTATATCTTAGGGTTAATAAATTATGGTTATGGGTGCAAGAGAAGAGCATCTTTTAAATTTGAAATAGGGTAAGAAAATCTTTGAAGAAGATCTCACTCCAGAATAGAAGGCTATCTTATTGAAATAGAAAGCAGGAGTATGATATTAAATACAAACATATTAGATTGTTTTACCAATAGGATTAGTCAATTAAGGAAATACATGTTATATGAATGCCTCAATTTAAATTTTGAGAAGAGTTAATGAGTTGAATGAATACGTAAAGAATAATGCAAAGTAAGGATAAGGACCTAGTGTTAAGTTATTTAATGCATTAAGTGATGTCTTCTAATAACTTGAACGTAAAGGTGAATCATTTAAACCATTTAATTTTCTTAGTGTAATTAATTTCTTAAATAAGTCTAGATTCTCTTTTAGTTGTATCCAGGATTCGCTTAAAGAGAAAACCACATGTCATTTAAATAATAGGATGCTGATGAATGTTTTTAAAATATTCTTTAAACAATTGAACCATTAACTACATATGAGAATGAAGAGGGATAATAAAAAAATTTAGTTAAAGAATTATTTGAAATTGAATTGAAATCAACAATTGAGAATTAAGATCTTCCAGATGAACCTAAAAAAGTGAGTATTGAAAAAGGAAAGAAGTTAATGTGTATAATTGATAACCAAAGTAGACCAGTTAATACTTTAATAGAAGGTATTACAGTGAGTTTGGAAGAATAATTATAGAAAATTTCTGAAATAGATTAACAAACTCATATCTATAAAAAAACACAAAAAATTTTTAAATTAGTAAGATATATTGTTTATATTATTAAAGCCAAGTTATTTATTATGTTAAATGGTTAGATTTTTTTGGAAATAAGGAGTATAAGGTAAGGAAGGAGTAAAGGCTAAAATATTGAGAAATGTTGCATTCCCAAAAACTTTAGATTTATTTGATTTCTGTGCTCCTGAATTATAAGAATAATTATTAGCAGGAAGAGAATATGAGAAAAAGAAACTTTTGGAGATGGCTGCTAAAGAGACTGATGAATTAGAATAATTTAAGAAAGATTTAGAAGCATCTGGAAAGATGATACCTGATGATACAAGAGAAATTTATAAATTATTTAAGGCTAAAAAATAATAAGAAGAAATAAAGAATCATGATGATTAGTTATATAGAAAACATGGATTAGGATTAGTAACAGGAAATTATTAGTTAATTGGAGTTTTAAGTAATTAATTATTTAATTGATAGCTCATACTGGAAGAGAGGCTGATTCTGGACATTATATGGCATGGGTTCATCATTCAGGTGATAATTGGATATTGTATGATGATGAAAAGACATTTGAAAAGAAAATAGAATAAATTATGGAATTGAGAGGTGGTGGAGATTGGCATATGGGTTATTATCTATTGTATAGAAGATTAGAAATTGAGTGATATTATAAAAATGAATAATTATCATTATTTATTCAAGTTCATTATTGTAGGAGAATCAAGTAACTGTATGAATTAAGTTAGATGTTGGAAAGAGTTGTTTATTGTTATAATACACAGAAGGCAGATTCCAAGTTGGATATGATGCTACCATTGGAGTTGAATATGGATCTAAAGAAGTTATCTATGATGATAAACTAATTAAATTATAACTATGGGATACGGTATTATTTAATTATATTCAGGCAGGCTAAGAGTCCTTTCGTTCTATAACTAGAGCATATTATAGAGGGTATTAAAAATCATTTTTATATGTATAGATCGATTGGTTGTTTTTTGGTTTATGATATTACAAGGAGAATAACATTTGACAGAATTTAAACATGGGTTAAAGATGTGAAATAAGACACTAATAATAGAATTGAATTTTTGTTAGTAGGCAACAAATGTGATTTAAAAGATAGAAAAGTTAGTTATGATGAAGGAAAATAATTATCAATCCAATTAGGATGTTAATTCTAAGAGACTTCTGCAAAAACTGGAGAAAATGTAGAATTTATATTTGAATCTTTAACAAAGAAAATTTACTAAAACATTAAATCTAATTAAATTGATCCTCATGATCCAAATCATGGAATCAAAATAGGAAAGATTGCAGAAAATGAAAAAGTAACAGAAATTCCTCACTAGAAAAAAAGAAGTATTTGTTGTTGAATATAATCATAAAATCAATCAATTAAAAATTTTTAAATATATTATATTAATATCTAAATACATTTCTTTTTTGATCAATAGAACACTAACTAAGTTTTCTCTTTTAATAATTGATGTACACTTATTTTATTTAAGTACATTTAATTTTTAGAAAGATGAATTTTATAATTGAAGTTTTGTTCAAAAATTGAATCTCTAAAGTTAATTACCTCATAATAAGAATTTTATATAGTATTTTGATTGCCTGTCTTTGCTATCTATTTCTTAGTTTGAGTTATCTCTTATAAAGTGTAATGTTGATCACTTAGAATTCAAAAATAATAACCTTCACAAATGGCTTTTGTTGTTAAAGTGTCAAGAAACAAAACTTGAATATTAAGTATCTTGTGTATCGTTAATATTATTTGGAGGTTCTTTCTTCATAACTGAAATACTTCATCTTTTATTATGGAAGCTGGAGGTAGTCTCTTTTATGATATAATGATTGGATATCATCCTATTATAGAAAAGGAAAATTAAGTTGTTGAATATTTAGATAGAAATAGCTTTAAATAATGTAAAGTGTTTAAAACATATTCATGGTTTTTTAAATCAACTCAAAACATTTAAATAATAAATCTTAATATTTTATACTCTATATAGATAGATTTTCATTTGGGGAAATCCTACTTTAAAATTGAGAGAATTTCATCAAAATTTCTAATTTTATTATACTCAAATACTTAACGATTTAATTTTAAGAACCTATTAGAGCTCGATTTTATTTTAAGTATGTTGATAAAATCTACTCTTTTAATCTTACTAACTCTGGAATGAATTAATAATTTTCTTATTAATTTTCTTCATGGATACTTGAACTACTTTTTTTGACTATTTTTGAAGAATATTATTTATTCTTATTATTTAAATTTTAATTATTTGTTGCACTTTATTGATTAGTAAGTTTGGATTAATCTATTTGTGATATTTTCATAGGGTTCTATAGTGATTATTCTTTAAATACAAGAGGTGATGATTTTGTTTAATTTCCTATATTAATTTTTGTTGTTTATGGTTTAAGGTAATTATAATTATTTTATTTCTTGCCTTTGTTATTCTTCTTCATTTCTTGGCTTTCTTTATTTAAAAATTTAATACATTAATCTTTGTTATTCTTGTTAGGAACAATAAGATGGATAGGAGTTTTAACCTACTTAGTTTTATTGTTTTAAATATATGGTTCTGTTTCTTCAGTAAACAAGACATCTTCCTCTATAATGATATGAGGTTTATTGGATTCCTTGTTTAGATTATCCAATTATTATGCTGAACGTACATCATTAATAAATTAAGAAGGTACAACTACATTTGAACTTGAATGTAAAGATGATGAATTTTTTTGATGCATCCAAGTTGCAATTAAATTTTCAACCTTTTAGTTCTATGAACTTAAATTCAACTAATAGAATATTTTTCATTCTTTACTTGTTTTTCAACAGAAAAAGATTGTGCTTTATTTCTATGTCTTGGATTTTCTATAGAAAATTGTAATTATCTTTAATAGGTTTATGGTCTTTCATTTGAAAGATTTCTAGAACGAGAAGATTATTAAACTAAAATGGATGCCTTTAAGTTTTCTAATTCTTCTAATTAAGTTGATTAGTGCTAAGATAATAATAACATTTATTATTACTATAAAATTAAATTATAAAATTACAATAATTTCATAAAGATTAAAGTATCTCTTTAGAAGATTATGAAATCTTAATTATTTCATAACTTAAATATACACTTTTATCAAGAATAAAAATAATTTTTGAGATTATTTAAATTTTCTTTATATAAAGTTGTTCATTTTTTATGGATTTACCTCCTCTCTCTGAATTAGAATTGTAAAATATCTATGCTTGGGTAAATAACAAAATCCTAATTTCAGATCGACAAAATTCCACTTTCAAGACCAAAGAAGAATATTCAAAGAGATTTTGCAGATGGAGCCATGGTAGCAGAAATTGTTTATCATTACCTTCCAAAATTAGTAGAAAAGCATAATTACCCTTAAGCTCATAGTGTATAATAAAAGTAATATAATTGGAGTACTCTCAATTTAAAAGTACACAAATATATAATTATTAGGTATTCAAAAAACTTGGATTTCAATTATCAAAAAATGATATTGATAGTGTTATTGCTTGTTCACCTGAAGCTGTTGAAAGAGTGTTAAAGTTGTTATAAATTAAAATAGAAAAATATTTTGAATAATAAAAAGAATTGGAAAAGAAAGCCCTTGAATAATAAAAATAATAGTAATAATAATAGCAACAAAAATAGTAGGTGTAGGAGGATCCCCTACAAAACTAAGATTTAAGATTTATTTTGGCTGAAAAAAATTAAGCAATTACAGAGCTGAAGGAAACTGTCGAAATTTTATAATTAAAAGTTAAGAAACTTGAATAACTATTACAAATCAAAGATAATAAAATTTAAGGATTAATAAATCAATTACAAGGTAAATAATGAATTCTTATTATTTTCAATTCTTTATAACAATTATTTATATTGCTGATAGATTAATATTATTTATAAGCATTTTGAATCTAAAATAATTATTATATTATATATTTTAAAAAATTGAAATTGAAATAGGCTTATGTCTAGTTTAAATGATGAAGAAAGCGATGTATAAGATGTTGATATAATTGATGAATATATTAGTAATTACACTAGTTAAAAATCAAGTCAACATCCTTATTAAGAATCACCAGATGATTATGAAAGAGTAGTTGATGAAGAAGTTAAATCAGAAGATAATAATCGATCACATTAGGAATCTGTTTCTAATAAATTTTAACTTAATAAGAGATAAATTTTGAATTGGAGAACTGCTGAAGATGAAGAATTTGTTAAATTATGCATGATGTAGGGATCAATGATTAATGAAAAAATAATGAATTAAAGAAAGAAGCTTAAGGATCATTTTAAAGAATTTTAGAATGTAATTTTATTAAATATCATTTATAGACTATAAATGCTGCAAGAAATAATTTAAAAGATTATGATATGCCATATCAAACTGCTCACTTTCCTTTATATCTAAAGACCTAAGAAAAATTTGTGATTTTACCAGCTTAAAATCTCAATATTAGGAAAGGAACATTGGAATCATTCATTAAGACAAATTTGGAAAATGAAAACTCTGTGAAGAAGGCAGAATAAGATAGAAGAGTGGCATTTAAATAGCGTAGACCATATTAGAAAAGAAAATTCGATTCTTGAAGCATTATATTATCTTTCTTGTTTACATAAGTAATATCCATAAGAATATTATAATTTGTTATTCTCTAATCATTATGAAATAAAAGTTGTATAATATATAATGAATGTTACGTTCATATATAAAGTAATTATGTATAATAGACTTAATTTTATAAAATAAAGATAGCATTAATAGAATATTATATCTATCAATTTAAGAATTAAGTTAATTATATAATGATAGTACACAAAATTAATTACTCTTTCTTAAGAAAATTAACAAAAGAGGGAGTAGAATGTTGAAAATTCTTTAATTATTATTAAATAATGGTGATGGGGAGTGTTTGATGTAAAAGATACATTAAACATGGTTAGGTAATAATTTAATAATTATATAAATGAATATCTTTTTATAAAACATATTATTAAAATAATATTTTCTTTAAAATTAGAATGTGTATTTAATAATTATTTTTAAATGGGAGTTTGTATTAGTAAAATTACATAGCCTTAACCTGAAATTACCATAGATCCCATGCCTATAGTATAACCTCAAAAGGGAAATTACTCGATGAATAGTTTACCTGCAGAAGTATGTAAAATGCAACTATATCACAAAGCCAAGAAGAGGGGATAAGAAACGTTAGGCTAAAATAGAAGTGTTGGAAGAGTAAATACATGAGAATGTAGTAAAATAGCCGAAAGAAAAATCTCCATTTGATTTTTAGATGATTTTAAATGCCTTTGGAAACCATTTTATGTTTGCTTAACTTGATAATAATGATAAGTAAAGATGAGTATTAAAGTTAGAGCTAAGCTAATTGATGATATGTATTATGTAACAGCCAAGAATACAGATTACATTGTTAAATAGGGGGACAAAGCAACATTATTTTTTATAATTGGTAGAACTTCATAATTAATAAGTAAGAAAGGGGAGATTGTAAAATAATCATAAATAATGAAGTAAAGAGAGTATTAAAGGCTCCAGAGTTTTTTGGTGAATTGGCTTTAATGTATCATGCACCACGATCTGCCTCTGTATAGGCAATAGGAGATTGTGGATTTTGGGTGTTAGAAAGAAAGAAATTTAGAAAAGCTGTTGAAGACATTTAATAAAAAGCATATGAGACAAATAGAAAATTCTTAGATTAAGTTAAATTTTTTGGTATTGTGTTGTTTATTTAATATTAAGACTTTATGACTGAAGAATAGAGAGATAGTATAGCAAATGTGTTAATAACATTGAAATTTAAATAGGGTGAATTAATAGTTAATGAAGGTGATATGGCAAATTCATTCTATATTATACAAAAAGGGATTGTATCAGTTACAAAATAGGGATAATTTTTAAGATATATGAATTAAGGAGATTCATTTGGTGAATAAGCTCTATTTGGTAATTGTGTAAGAGGAGCAACTGTAAAAGCAAATAATGAAGATGTTAATTTATTATCATTAAGTAGAGAAGATATTACAACTATATTGGGTGAGAAGATTCAGGTACAATAATTGTATTTATTTAGTTGCATAGTTAATCATTTATACAAATATGTAGAAATGGGCATTTGAAAAACATCCTTAATTAAGAGATCTTACTAAAATGTAAATATAAAAAATAGTATCTAATTTTAAAATTAAAACATATGAAAGTAAAGAATACTTATTCTCGAAAAATTAAATGATTGATAAATTAATTATTATTCTTGATGGTTAATTAGAATTTGATGGATAACTTTATAATAATGGTCAATTATTTGGTGATAAATTCCTTTAGGTTGAAGAATCTAAACGAAAAATAAGTTCAGATATTGTAACAACTCGTAAAACAACTTTATCTGTACTTACATTTAAATAGTTCTTTGAATGTATTGGAGGAGAATTAGAAACTGTTGTTAAGAAAAATAAAGACAGAGCTGGATCTTCAAGTTTATTGGAAAAAAGATAAAAAAGCAATTATTCTCTTTTTACATTAGAAGATTTTATTGGATTATAACTTTTAGGAGAAGGCACTTTTGGAAATGCTTATTTAGTTAAAGATATTCCATAATAAAATTTACATGTTATGAAATGTATTCCAAAAGTAAATATTATTGCAAATAATACTGAAAGACACATGAAAAATGAGAAATAAGTTTTAGAATTGTTAAATCATCCTAGTTTAGTATGTTTTCATAGATCATTTAAAGATTAAAATTATATATATTTATTGACTGAATATGTTAAAGGAAAAGAACTATTTCATGTTATTAGAGATCTAGGTTTGTTGAATTCTTATGAGACTCAATTTTATATTGCTTAGATGATTAATATATTAGAAAAACTTCATTCCTATCATATTATATATAGAGATGTTAAACCAGAAAATTTTATTGTTATGGAAAATGGATATTTAAAACTTATAGATATGGGTACTGCCAAAGTCTTAAAATCTAGAGCTTCTAAAACCTACACTATTGTTGGCACACCTCATTATATGTCTCCTGAAATATTGAAAGGTAAAGGTTACACATTCTCTACTGATTTATGGTCTTTGGGAATTTGCTTTTTCGAATTAATGTGTGGAGAAGTTCCCTTTGCAGGAAATGAAGATGATGATCCGTATCAATCATTATTATTTAGATATATAATCTAAGAAGCCATTCTCAATGGGCGAGTAGAATACCCTTAATTTTTAAAAGACTTTAAGGCCATTAAACTAATGGATTAATTAATGAATAGAACACCTGAATTAAGATTAGGAGGATCTTATGATGCTCTCAAAGTTCATTCATGGTTTGATGGATTTCAATGGGTAAATTATTAATCGTTATAATTTTAAAGGAAGAATTAGAAATGTAGGAAATTAAACCTCCACATATTCCTAAACTTCAATAATCTAATTTTGAAGAAATTCCTTTTCTAGAAATGATTAAAAGAGATACAAGTCCTGATATGATTTGCACTGTAGTTGTTGATTGGGACTAAGAATTTTGAAATATATCTGCTCATTTATAATTATAAATCTTTTCTTATTATTAAACATTTTATATCTCAAATTAATGTATCTTCCTTTTTCTTTTTCTTATACAAATATAATCCAGCTCCAATACAAAACAAACCTCCAACAACGCCCAACAAGATCCATAACCATAGATAAGATTTCTCTGTTTTCTCAACATCAATATTAAGCATCAAAATTACATTTTTGAAATGGTTCTTAACTTATATATATTAAACGTCTGATTTAATGATTCCATTATAAACTATCTTAGGTGATTGAGTAACTTCATACATTGTTAATATACTATAGTTATAATTATTGAACAATAAATATTCCTATTAAATTTATAATAATTATAATTTACTTTATTATTTAATTTATAAGATATCAATTATTTTTCAATTCTATAAAATTGATTAGTAAATTCAATAGCTCCAAAGAATTA